ATCTGTTTCCTTCCCCAGATTAGGGAAGTTTTCAGCCATTATTTCCTCAAATAAATTTTCTGTTGTGTTTTCTCTGAGCTTTCTTCTGAGACTCTCCTTGCCTGTGGTGGACATTGGCCTGAATGTGGTGAGTTTTAACTAGGTGTGCTCTGGTCTGCTTATGAAATGAGGCTTGACACAGCTTCTACCAGAACCAAGGTCCTGCAGAACTCTCTGCTTGGGAGATGTGGTGTGGGCAGGGGTTTGTGCTGGTCTTCTGGGGTAGGGACCCAGAAGGGACTGGGACTGAGGCAAGTTTGACTGAGAAAAGCAGTCCTGCCAGAGTGGGGCTTGGTATAAGCAAGTTAGGCAGCCAGTGTCTGCACTGTGATGCTTCCTGAGGGGGCTCTGTGTTTATGCTAAGGGGTGGGGGGGGGGAATGGCCAGCCAGCTCCTTTGTTTCAGAGAGGTATCTCTGTGAGTTCTGTCTCTCAGGGACATGCTCCAAGAAGAGCAAATAATGTCCCTGCTGTGCGCCCTAGGCATTCTTCAGATCACTATTTCCATGCTGTATGCCCCTGGATTGTTTGCCTGCCTTCCCTTCAGGAGCAGCACATTACCCTCTGGGCTCCCAGTGAAGCTTGCTGACCTTTAAAACTCCAAACTTTATGCCCCACTGGTTCCAAGAACTCATGAAGTTCAGCCCCTCTCATTTTCCAAGCCAATGGGTATGGGGAAAACGTTCTCCTTGTGTATTCCCCTGTGTGCTTCTCTTTCTCTTGTCCTTCTCTGTGACCACATCTCCCTCTCCTCCACAGCACCTGCAATCTGATCTGTCTCTTCCCTAAACCAGGTCTCTACACTTCCTACTTTCTTCAGTGTGACTCTTCTCTCCCTTTAGTTGTGGAGTTTGTTCTGTCAGTCTTCAGGTCAATTTCTGGAGTATTTAGGATGATTTGATAGTTATCTAGTGGTGTTCATGGGATGAGGCAAGCCTAGGGTCTTCCTACTTTGCCTCCATCTTCCTCTCCTTTGATATGTGGGGGTTTTGATCCATTTATCTGGATGGCATTGCTTTCCTCTACAGTTTATTGATCTGGCTCTAAGTTATTTCTAATTCCACCTTTCCTCTGAATGTATGGTTACAGTAACAACTGGATAGAAGAGCCATGCTGAATGGTAGCACTGTGATAATTCTCAGTTCCCCAGCCACACCCCCTCTCAAATTATCCTTCATGGGCCAAATTCTCTGCTCCACTGCATCCTCAGGGAAGCAGTACCTAATAAAAGGACATCACAGCCTCATCTTGATTCTCCTTTTGTTCAGGTACCATGTGACTAAAGACTAGTAATCAGAGTAATATTTTTAAATATTAACAACCTACTCAGCCATGTAAGGAAGAGATATATTGAATTATTAAAATATTCAGACTGATAGATGGATCACCTTATATCAATTTTGCATAACCTACACCTCAACGGTTCCATGAACCCCAAAGAAAAAGAACATTTTTGTAGTATGTTAGTATCTAAGGGAAGAAGCTTATAGTTTTTGTTACATTTATCAAATGGTTCTCTGACCAAAATAGGTTAAGAAGCACTTACTGAGGATAACTGTTTTTCAGTTCTTAGCTATACAGGAGAATATTTGGCATTAAAATCATGATAAACATAATACAGACTGTTATAGTGCCTCAAGGCTCTTAAAATGAGTATCAGTAATGATTATGTAGTACTTTGAAATTTTTAAATTATTTGAGCTTTCTCAATTCATTCTATTAAAATGCAACTGTGTAAGCATAACAATCATTGAGATTTTGAATAAGTGGAATTTTATGCAGGTATCTCCTTTGTCACTAATTACTATATATGACACTCTACAAAAATCAACCTCTTCAAATTTCAATCTTCTTACTGGTAAAATAGCGATATCCATGTAATCTATGCCTATTTAGGCTATGTTGGATAAAGAGACAGAAAAGTAATTGAACAGGGGACCAGTGGTTTAAATGTTTTTAAATCAGGGATTTTAGTTCTGACCTGGATTCAAACTCAGACACAATCTTGACTCTGATACAATAGTCTCCTAAATAGTCTCCCTACTCCCAAGTTTCCTCCACCAGACATTTTTTCAAGCAGCAGTCTGCATGACCCTTAAAAAAGTGTAAGTGAGGTCATGTCATTCTGCTCAAAGCTCTCCACTGGCTTCCCATCTCATTCCAAAAAGAAGCTGAAGTCATTGCCATTGTTTGCAACCTTACAGCTCAAGGTGAGGTCTGCAGACCAGCAGCATCAGCTGAAACCAAACTCTATGGGAGAGCTACTAAATCACAATCTACGTTCTACCAAGAGCCTCAGGTCACACAAATGTCCATCAAAGTTTGAGAAACAGCCTTGATGGCTTCTCCTTTTCCCCTTTCAATTTTCCCCTTCTCATTCCACTTCAGCCACAGAGGCCTGGCCTCCCTGCAGTTCATCCACATGCCAGACTCCCTCTTGCAGCAGGAACTTTACATTTGTCATTCAGTCAGCACAAAAATCTCTCTTCCCCAGTTATCTGCAAGGCTCTCCCCTTCATCTCCTTCAGTCTTTCCCAACTGTTGTCATCTTGGTGAGCCATCCCCTGACAACCCTACCTTAAACTGCAATCCTCCCTCCCCACAACATACTCTTCATGTGTCTTCAGAAAGTTATTTTTCTCTATAGGACTTAACATTACCTGGCATATTATATCATTATTTATTTGTTTATTATCTGTCTCCTCCCCATAAGATCCACGAGAGCAGAGATTTTTGTCTCCCCTCTATCCCCATTACCTAGAACAATGACCAATATGTATTTGTTAAATTCATGAATCAGATGAGCTAACACATATAAAGCTAAACACAGTTGGGGGTAGGCCCTCAATAATTGATATCCATGGTAAATATTATGTTTTGTTGGACATTAAACGTATTTCTTCTAGGCAGACAGAGTATAGTAGTCTTTCAGAAATCAAAAAGACATTTTGGACAAGTCCCCAGTTCATGCTATGAAAAGTTGAAAAGAAGTTATTACAGTAATCCTCAGTAGACAGTAAATTTTATAGGTAAAGAACTGTACATATATATTTTTGTTTATTTCAATTTTTTCCCACAAAACTAGCCCCATTACATGGCACAGTTCCAGGAGAATGACAGACACTAAATAATGAATAAACAAATACAATTTAAACATATATAAAGGTAGTATATAAGAATCTGTCTTTGACTCTTTGGCATCCTTGATAGCCCTAACCCGGCTGCCTGTCTGGTCTTCTGATTTTCTTGTACTAGTATTTTATATTTGTCATTAACTTGAAGTAACAAAATTATTAATCTGAATGCAACACCTTTAAGACAAACCATGGCTGGTCTCTGGTTAAAACCAGGTGGCTTAATTATCTAAGGAGGACTGATAGCAAAACTTAACAATAATGACACAGCTACTAGTTATATCAGGAAACTGTGTAAGCATTTTAGCTGTGTCATTTAATATATGCAATGCTATTATAAGCTAGGTATTATTTTTAATACCTATAATACCTATCTTTAGGATGCATCAACTGAGGCCTAGAAAGGTTAAATAACACGCCCAAGGTCATATAGAAAAGCTATTGATCCACTGCAGAATGAGTTATGCCAAGAGTCAAGGATTTATTTATCCTCTGCAACTACTTTCAGATGCTAATTTTTTTAGTAATGGAATTCTTTTTACCTCACTGAGCAAACTGTTGCATGAGGGCTCAGTGACTAGAACAGATAATAGCAGCACGGCTCTTGATCAAGCAGGGATTAGGCAGAGTGAAGACCCATTTCCTCAGTCCTCAGCCTTCTCCTTTGCCTCCTCCTTATCCATTGGCTCTGTACAGCACCTCTGCAGAACCTCAGTGATCTAAGGAAAACTTTTGTCCTGTGGAAAGGAGGTGGGATAGGCATCCAAAGAGCAGGCAGAAGTTCTAAAATCTCTCTCCAAGTAAAAATAAAGGGGCCAGGGAAACCATCCAAATAGGTAGAAAAGATCCCACACAGAGGATTCTGTGTACTACCTTTATAGATTGACCACGGAGGTAAAAATCTGTCTATATAAGTAACTTGGGATTCCAAAAAAAAGTTTGGACCATATCATACTGATGTCTCTCCAGCTCTAAAATGTCATGATGTAATGATCTGGAGTGGGCAATAAGCAAAATATGATTTGATATATAATTTTTACAATTTTCTTGCTTCAAAACCTCTAGGTAGTCACTTCTCTCAGCTGGCAACAGGTAACCATGGACAAGGAAGGCAACATGAATATGCATGAAGAAGTCAGAATACCTGTTTTAGGATTCCAGTTCTATAATAACCTTGAGAAAGTCACCACTCTCTGAAATAAAAAGATAAACAATGCTCTTCTACCTCACAGGTAAAGGTAAAATGATATAATAATGATGAAAACCTTCGGAACTACTGAAGTTGTATGCAAATACTAACAAAAGTATTAGCAGAAGTACCAAAAATAGACTTTAGGGTTAAAGAATACACACACCCTACTTCTATTGAGAAAATTCTATGAGATGGTATGTGGACACTGAATATCTATTTGAATTGATAATATATCCTTAAGTCAATAATCTGCCAGTCAAGTTATCCAGCACATTGTCAGTAGCATTCATTCATTACCCATTTGACATCCATTTGATATTTACCACAATGTTAATTTCTTACTTATTTTACCACCACAGATAAATTATTTGAAGGAAAACATCTAGTGAAAATTTCCCTTTAATTTTTGCTGACATCGACAATAGCCTATCAAAACAATTTTTATAGATTATTGAATTATAAGTAAAAGTGTAAGTATTCTGAAATTTTACCCAAAGGAGATGTAGCAAAAATGAGATATAATTATTACACTTTAAGCTGTGTGTCATTTTCTTAAATTTAAATAATTAATTGCAATTATAAAAAGGGAGGAATACAGTTGGTGAAAGCAAGAAAAGATAATTGCTTTAGACTTACTGCTGCATGAAGAACTGAGGCAATCCAATGAGCATTGTTCCAACTCCCATGATTAGGCACCCTGTTCCGATTATTTTTGGCCTGTGAAGTTTGGCTCCAAAGTAGCTTACAAACATTATAACTAAGAGATTCCCTTGGGGTGAAGAATAAAATGTTCATCAGTTAGATAACTTAGAAAAAGTCATCAGCATAACTAAATTAACGAATGTCTATAGCAGGTCTGGCAATGTTTTGTTGTAACTAAACTGTCTCCCTACCATCTTTCCCATCCTTTGTCTTTCTTTGCTTTAATCTAAGATGACTGTTGAAATTGTCTGCATACTCATTACTTCAATTATCCATTTATCAAAATACCTTAATTATGAACACTACTACCTCAATTTCATCCACCCTAATTATTTGTCCTTTTAAAGTGTTTTATAAGTAAATCAAATTGTAGAAGGGTTCCTTTATTGCTCTCTTAAGTTTTCCTTAGTGATTTTGAAGTGAACTTTATTACTTTCTTCATTCATTAATATTTTCTATTAAAGTTTTTATCAGTTTCCCATTTGCTCTTGAAACATACGTTACAATATTCTTGTTTTAGCAGATATTCCTCATAGAAAAAGAAAAGCAAACACAACTATACCTCACTTTATTAAATCAAATTATGAAATTCATATTAATACTAAAATACAATTTGTTACATGCTTTTTACAAAAAGACTCAAAACAGAGGTAAAAATTACTTCACATAAGCAAACTTCAGGAATATACCAGTTATATAATCTCAATGTTTACTTATAATCCAAATTTATGAAATACAAAAATTCTATAAAATGTACCCATCTTTTAAAAGAATAATTGAAGAAATTTTTTTGAAGGTGGAAATTACATTTTTATAAAAAGTCTCTAGAGAAGCATATGATAAATTACTTTTAGTCGGTGATGGTGATGAGTGACTAAATGTGCTTTAGGGAAAACATCCTCATATTTTGCTGTATACAAAAATACTGGAAGAAGGTGGTGAGGAAAACAGAAACCTTAAAAGTTTTAAAATCTTGGAAGCTCCCAACAGTTTCTCATTCCATGGATCTAGGGGTAGGTCAAGAAATCTGCATTTGTAAGCTCAAATGTGCTGATGGAGATGGTTCCAGGAACATGCTTTGATAAACATTGTTTAGGATCTTAGATTTCAAAGGGCTTTTAAAGTTTCAGCTCTTTGCATTTGGAAGTTTTTAAAAACTGCAGTGCTAGGTAGAGTAAGAACTTAGCAACTCCCCAGCAATTGACTGTGATGGCTGATGGGTAGTGTTGCTTTGAAGCTCTCTTCAATGTTTCTAATTTTCTAGCAAGAGTATGTTTGCTTACATCTGTAAGCAATCATCTAATTTACTACTGTTTGTTCACATTGCCAGCTTTAGTCAAGTGCAAAAAGAGCAGCAATTTTTATAGCCTTGAGGACAATAATGACAGCGAGAAAATTAGCTTGCATAGTGGCTCTAGATTTTATGGTTCCAGAAAGAATTAAGCTTCTTTTAATTTTCACAAGGAAAAAAAAACCTTGAATATGAGATTTTTCATTTGATATTTAAGCATTTAGAAGAAATTTTGTATATTACATTGACAATTATGTCTATACTTTTGTTAATGTGTCACAATTAATAAAATACAGTGAAAGCTGACCTTCAGTTTATAATGTATCCCTGCAACCAACATCACCTACCCTGCCCAACTTGCACACCACCAACACCTCACAATAAAAGACTCATGTTTCAGGCTGTTTCTGTGTTACATTAGTGGGTATGCCAAAGACCACATAATACCACTTCAGTGTCTGTGATATCTATAGAGTTTTTTCTTTCTTTACTTAGTATCCCTTCTGAGTTCTCAGAAGATACACATAGAAAATTAATGGTGATGATAATCTTTAAAAAATTAAATTGGATATCAAAAATCAATTCTATTATCATAAATGAACAGATAACAAAGAGGAGGTGTGTACATACACATGTGCATGCACGCCCCCCCACCACACACAGAGGAATATTATGCAGCCATAAAAAGGGATGAGATCATGCCACTTGGGACAACATGGGTAAACCTGTAAGTGAAATAAGTTAGACTGAGAAAGACAAATACCATATGATTCCACTTATAAGTTGAATTTTAAAAAAACAAATGAATAAAAAAAAGCAGAATCAGAACTTTAAATACAGAGAACAAACTGAAGGTTGCCAGAAGGTAGGAATGGTTGGGCAAAATGCGTGAAGGAGAGAGGGAGATACAGGCTACCAAATTATGGAATGAATAAGTCATGGGAATAAAAGGCACAGCATAAGGAATACAGTTAATGATACTGTAATAGTGATGTGATGGAAGAGATGGTAACTACACTTGTGGTGAACATAGCATAAATTATAAACTTATCAAATCACTAAGTTGTACACCTGAAACTAATGTAACATTTTGTGTCAACTATACTCAAATTAAAAAAAAAATTAACACAAATTCAGCAAGGTTGCTGCATACAGATAACATTAGATATTAATATTGTTCCAATATTCCAGGAATTACTAAATAGGAATTGTAACAAAAAAAAACTATTACTGTAAAAGCAATGATTAGAGGGAAATTCATTTCATTGAATACATATATTAGGAAAGAAGAAAAATCTAAAATCAGTTATCTAAGTTTCTACCCAGGAAACCAGAAAAAGAAGAGCCAATTAAATCTAAAGTAGGTAGAAGAAAAGACATAATAAAATTAGAGCAGAAATAAATGAAATTGAAAACAGAAACTCAGAAGAGAAAATCAGCAAAACCAAAGGTGATTCTTTGAAAAGATCAATGAAATCAATAAGCCTCTAGTCATGCTCACCAAGAAAGAAAAGAAAAAAAAAAAGAGAGAAGATACTAATTACTAATACCAGAAATGAAAGGGGAGACATCACTATAAATTTTATGGACATAAAAAGGATAATAAAGGAGTACTATGAACATCTCTATGCTTACAAATCTGATAACCTAAATAAAATGGACCAACTACTTAAAAGACACAATCTGCCAAATCTAAGAATTAATAGACAATATGAACAGGCCTATATCTATTATAGAAGTTGAACCAATAATCAGTAGCCTTCTAAAACAGAAAGCACCAGGCCCAGAAATATTCACTGGTGAATTTGACCCAGCAGTTAATGAAGAAATTATACCAATTCTCTATAATCTTTTTTGAAAAACAGAAGCAGAGGGGAAATTTTCTAAATCATTTCTATGAGGCCAGCATTACCCTAATACCAAAACCAGACAAAAAAAATCCCTATAAATCAATATCTCTCATGAACACAGGTGTAAAAATCCTCAACAAAATATTAAGTCATATTCAACAATATATAGAATTAGACACCATGACCAAGTGGGGTTTATCCCAGGTATACAAGGCCAGTTAAACATTAGAAAATTAATTAATATAATCCAGCACATCAACAGGCCAAAGAAGAAAAATCACATGCTCATATCAATAGATGTAGAAAAAGCATTTGACCAAAATCCAACAACCATTCATGATAAAAACTCAGTAAATGCAGAAGAGAGACAAATTTCCTCAACTTGTTAAAGAACTTCTACAAAAACATACAGTTAACATCATACTTAATGATGATAAACTCAAAGCTTCCTACTAAGATCAGGTACAAAGTAAGAATGTCCCCTCTCTCCATTACTTTTCATTGTACTGGGAGTTCTACTAAATATAATAGGACAAGAAAAACAAGTAAAAGTACACAGTCTGGGAAGGAAAAAATAAAACTGTCTTTGCTCCCAGAAGATATGATCATCTATATAAAAAATCCAAAAGAACTGACAAAGGAACTCCTGAAACTAATAAATGATTATAGTATGTTGCAAGATGCAAGGTTAATATACAAAAGTAAACTGCTTTTCTACATGCCAGCAATGAACAAATGGAATTGAAAAAGCATTTACTTTATCATCCCCCAAAATGATATATTTAGGTATAAATCTAATAAAATATGTACAAGATCTACATGAGAGAAACTATAAAACTCTGATGAAAGAAATCAAAGAAAAACTAGATAAATGGAGATACATTCCATGTTCATGAATAGGAAGACAGTATTGTCAAGATGCCAGTTCTATCCAACTTGTTCTATAGATTCAATGCAGTCTCAGCCAAAATCACAGGAAATTATGTTGTGGATACTGACAAAATGGTTTCTAAGCTGACAAACTGGAGAGGCAAAAGACCCAGAATAATCAACACAATACTGAAGAAAAACAAAGTTAAAGGATCGACATTACCGAACTTCAAGACATACTGTAAAGCCACATTAATCAAGACAGTATAACAGTGGTGAAAGAATAGACAAATAGATCAATGGAATAGAATTTATAGCCCAGAAACAGACCTACTTAAATATAGTTAACTGATCTTTGACAAAGGAGCAAATGTAATAAGATAGAGCAAACATAATCTTTTCAACAAATGGTGCTGGAACAACTGGACATCCTCATGCAAAAAAAAATGAAGTTAGACACGGACCTTACACTCTTCACAAAAATAAAGGCAAAGAGATCACAGACCTAAATTTAAAATGCAAAACTGTAACACTTCTAGAAGATAACTTAGGAGAAAACCTAGATGACCTTAGGTTTGGTGATGACTTTTTAGATGCAATACCAAAAGCAGAATCAGTGACCAAAAAATAATTGGATAAGCTGGACTTCATTAAAATTAAAAATTTCTTTTCTGTGACAGATACTGTCAAAAGAATGAAAAGAAAGCCACAGACTGAGAGAAAATATTTGCATAAGTCATATCAGATAAAGGACAGTTATCAAAAATATACAAAGAACACTTAAAACTCAACAATAAGAACACAAACAATGAGATTTAAAAATAGGCCAAATAACTTAACAGGTCACCAAAAAAGATAAACAGGTGGCAGATAAGCATATGAAAAGACGTTCAAAATCATATGACATGAGGGTACCGCAAATTGAAATGACAATGAGACACCACTACATACTTATTAGAATGGCCAAAATCCAAAATACTAAATGCTGGTGAGGGCATGGAGCAAAAAGAAGCTCATTCATTGCTAATGGGAATGCAAAATCGTACAAACACTTTGGGAAACAATTTAGCAGTTTCTTACAAAACTAAACATATTTTTCCCATATGATCCAGCAGTTATGCTCCTTGGTATTTACACAAATGAGGTGAAAATGAAAATATGTCCACACAAAAACCTGAACAGGGATTTTATAGCAGTTTTATTCATAATTGCCAACACTGAAACAATCAAGATGTCCTTCAGTGGATGAATGGATAAGTAAATGAAGGCCTATCCAGAAAATGGATTATTATCTGGCACTAAAAAGAAATAAGCTATCCAGCTATGAAAAGACACGCAGGAACCCCAAATGCATATTACTAAGTGAAAGAAGCCAATCTGAAAAGGCTACATACTGTATGATTCCAACTATACAACATTCTGAAAAAGGCGAAACTATGGAGACATTAAAAGCATCAGTGGATGCCAGGGCTAGGGGAAAGTTTGGATGAATAGGCAGAGCAGAGGGATTTTTAGGGCAGTGAAAGTAGTTTGCATGATACTGTAGTAATGGATACATACCATTATATATTTGTTCAATCTCATAGAATATACAACACAAAGAGTGAACCTTAATATTAACTATGGACTCTGAATGACAATAATGTTATTGTAGGTCCATCAGCTGTAACAAATGTCCCACTCTGGTGAGGGATGTTGATAATGAGAGAGGCTTTGCATTTGTGGGAGTAGGGTATATATGAAAAATCTCTGTAACTTTCACTCAATTTTGCTGTGAACACAAAATTACTCTAAAAAACAAAGTTTTTTTGTCATTAATATTTTTATTATTGTTATGTTAATCACCATACATTACATCATTAGTTTTTGATGTAGTGTTCCATGATTCATTGTTTGTGTATAACACCCAGTGCTCCATGCAGAACATGCCCTCTTTAATACCCATCACCAGGCTAACCCATCATCCCACCCCCCTCCCCTCTAGAACCCTCAGTTTGTTTTTCAGAGTCCATAGTCTCTCCTGGTTTGTCTCTCCCTCCGATTTCCCCCCTTTCATCCTTCCATTCCTGCTATCTTCTTTTTTTTTTTAACATATAATGTATTTTTTTAAAAAACAAAGTTTTTATAAAATCTGTATGAAGTTGATTAAATACTAGAATGTGAAAAGCAAAACTTTTCAATATTTATAAGAATATATGGGAAAGGGGTGCCTGGGTGGCTCAGTTGGTTAAGCGACTGCCTTCAGCTCAGGTCATGATCCTGGAGTCCCAGGATCGAGTCCCACATCGGGCTCCCTGCTCAGCAGGGAGTCTGCTTCTCCTTCTGACCCTAACCCCTCTCATGTGCTTTCTCTCATTCTCCCTCTCTCAAATAAATAAATAAAATCTTAAAAAAAAAAAGAATATATGGGAAAGTATTTGAAAGAGAATATTTGGAAATATTAGGAGGTCATGATATAGAAAACTTTTTTTTTATTTTCTTAGCAGCTCTGTTGTTGTTGGAGAAAGACTTTGTTATGAAAAAATACTTGGGAAAAAAATGGAGTGTCCAGTATGTGGACATGAGATAATAATGCCAAATGATATCAGAGGATAAATGAAATTGTTCTACAAAAAAGAAGAAAGGAGAGCTAGAGACAAAGGTGGGAGTGGGTCCAGAATCCTGGAAGGAAGGAAGCAAAAGGAGTAGTTTAAGATTATGGTCAGGAAACCCACTTTTATTTATTGAATTAGATACATTTTATTGTATCTAATTCAATAAATAACTTTCATCTTTGGAATGGTCTGGAAGAATGAATTTATTCTCAAGATCCTTTGTCACTTCCTGTGAAATATTAGTACTCTCTATCGAATATAGACTCTCTCAAGTTGCATCAGGACGTGGGGACCCAAGAAAAATTTGGACCATATTGTAAGACTTTGGCTCTAAAATGTTTTTATACCATAATCTAGAGTGAGCCATAATTAAAGTATCACTTGATATATAATTTTCTATCTGCTCATGTCTTCTTCTTTCTATGTGATTTAATCTTTCAATCTGTAACAGCTGCCTCTTCATACTGGTTTCTTCCTGTGATTCAGTGTGTCACTCTTACCTTGATTCAGTTTACCTTCATTCAGTTTAGGGCTATAGATAGGAGAGGCATCAAGGAATACATCAATTATCAAGGCCTATCTAGGGAATTTACACAAGGGAGTGATATGACCAGATGCTTTAGAAACTTGCTGCACAAAATATGGCCCATTTACTTAACAGCATCACATCATAGGAGAGCCTGTAAAAAGGCAGTCTTATTCCCCTTCCTAAAAGAATGAGCACCTGCATTTTTTCAAGATGGCCCAGTTGTTTGTATGCACATTAACATTTGATTAGCACTGAGCTAAGTAATCCCATTTTAGTAGGATGCTGACAGATGGATTTGGGAAGAAAACCCTAAATGTAAAAGGTTACCTATTCATTCTTTTCATTCTTTCTGTGATATTCAGGGTAAGAACTGAAAATATACAGTATGTATTTAAAAAGTCATTGTTGCAGAGTTGAAAAATATTTCTTCACTTTTCTGAAAGTTTAAGTGAGCTGAACCTGGAGTCATTAGAGATTTTACTATATATAGTAAAGCATATATTTGAGTCCCAACAGGTAGTAAGGACCCCAGAGGCTACCATTCTGTTTACTTCGGTGAAGAATTAAAGCCTTCTGGTTTATCAAATCAGGAAGTTGTACCTGGGATTACACTCCTTAAAGTACTTCCAAAACAGTAACTAAAATCACTTGGTCTTTTCAAGTGCCAAGAGGAAGTCTATAGTCAACTGCTACCCAAAGACATGTGAGAGTAGAATTTTTCTTGCCTGCCTTGCTCTACTGTTCTCGTTAATAGGATTTCTTTCTCTTCTGTGTTGACCTCTGGGCAGAAACCCCTTTTATGGTTTCACTTCTTAAATTATTACAATAAATATTTGTAGAACCCATCTGAATTCTTCCAAATTTTGAATCACAGGGCTGTCAGGATATAGGACTCTTCTTGTAACAACACTTCCTAAATACTTCTAACTTAAAATCCTAATAGCACCTCACCCTCTCCTCCAAGAAAGTCTCTCACTCTGATTGGAAACTCTAAATTGTGTGAATCATATAGTGTTGAACACCTGGGGCAGGAAATTTATTGTTGGTTGCTTGGGAAGAACAAATTGCCTCTACTGTTAACATAAGGTCCTAGCAAATTCTGTCTCAACAAGAATTTACAGATAGACTCTGATCCTAACAGACAAGAGAATGCAGCAAGGATGTCATTTAGTCATGCCTAGAAGACATGTAAAAGTAAAACCAGGCATCAGCAATACCTACCAATTTCAAAACTACCATCAATAACTCCCACCACTGAAGAAGGGATATCAAACCTTCTCTCTATCTGAGTGATGGTGCTCTTCAGGTAGCCTTCTGCCAATGCTTTGGCAAAGTAGACGAAAGACAAGGCACCCAAAAATACCTGGAAAATAGGACAAGTCACACTTAATCTGACTCCAGCTTGACACACAAGTGGAAACTTAACTAAATAAAGTCAAAATTTTCATTTATAAAATGGGAATGATATGGATGTTTTATGGATTAAATATTATAACTATACTTAGCATAATATCTGGTACATGGTAAAAATTGAATAAATGTTAGTTTCTTTCCTCTCTTATTTCAGTTTAAGAGGTGCATTCAAATGAGTCCAGGGAGTAATATTTACGAATTTAACCTACATGGTAGGGAGAGATGGATTTCACTGTCTGGTAAAGTGTAGTTTTAATAAATTGCACCTAAGTTCACTTTTTAAAAAGGGAAAAAAATTCTTGCTTCTAGCTACATATGGGAAATATGTAATTACACAGAAATATGAATTATGAAATTGCATAGCACATATCTGGATGGAGAGTCAACAACATAGCTTCCACCTAATTCGTGTTTTTTTCCTCCCACCTAATTCTTTGTTACTCTTTTGTTCACTACTTATGGTTGTTTGTTTACCATTTAATTGTTTGTTACCTTCAGTTTACCACAGCATCGTTGTTTCTCCTTTGAGGAAGAATATTCTGTTCTAAAGGAAGATCGCCCGACAGGTTGCATTGAACTTTTGCAGAATAACTGGATATTTTCTTTGGATGAAGTGTCCATTATGAAAATATTCCTTGACTCTGATCCTGTCGAAGTTGATTTCAAAAGTAAAAAATAAAAACAAAAACAAAAATTAATTTGAATCCACCATTTATTAAATAATGTTTTTATTTCACAGTAGATCATGATGCTGGGGACATGATCTGATGTGAAGCTACCTTATTTTACCACAGTAAGTTGGCAAAGTTTTTCAATTAAAATTGACCAGTATATTTGATTAACTAATCCAGCTATGGGGACTCTCTAGCCAGCATTCTTTCCAATCCCTACAGCTTAAACCTCATTATGGCAAAGAATAAGTTTAAATGTTGCTTTTGGAATAAATAATGAGGCAGAATTTTGCTAACTTTGTGGTCTTGCCAGCTTAAACTAGAAGCAAGCAGGAAAGGAAGAGGAATTCAAACATTTGAATATTGATTCATGAAAATTGTCATTAAAGCCTTTAAATCTATCCTAACAGAATGGGTAGAAAAGACTGATGCCCATTGTAGATCCCTGTAGCACACTGCAATTCCTATAGGTGTGCAGCATCCAAAGAAAGGTATAAATTATGGCAAAAAAAGAAGAGGACCAATTTATGTATCATTTTAGTTTGACAGATATGGAAGCAGCACGATTTGTGCCACAGACTTACATTTAATTCAGGCAAAAATTACTTTAACCTGCCTTGAAGTAGGAAAGATGGCCTCCCTTCCTATGTTTAATTTCCCATCCGCCCATCCTTACCAAGCCCTGGACAGATCCACATACTCTAAACCTATTTTCTCCCTATTCATATCAGTATTTACATGTCCCATGGCCTACTTCTTTAGGGTTTTGCATGGCTCAGTGCCTGCCTGAAAAAGTAATGTAAGTGAAGAGATTAGAAAACAAAATAACTTCTGGATCACCCTAATATTTATCAAATGATACATTTGCATGTTAATAGAAATCTCCTATATTTTTATCACACTAATTAAAGGAATAACATTACGAGTAAAATTTAATGTACTGTGGTAGTAACTTAGGCTTATTCTGCCTATCTGCCTTGACTTTATGTAATCCTTTTTTTTTGACTTTATGTAATTCTTATTCTGTGTTTACTAAACCTCATCCTTCACAGTTTGAATTCATAGATAATTTCTCAAAACTGAAAAATCAATTTATTTTGAAATATTTAACTAAATATCAAAAGAAAGACCTGAACAATTAAAAGTGGAGGAGATTCCTCCAGGGAGTAGCAAATGAGTTGAGAAGGGTATAGCAAGGGCCTGTTTAAAAAAAAAAAATTTTTTTTAGATTATTTGATTTTTAGATTATTTGATACATAAATTTAACTTTTAAAAAATGGGCAAAAGAGAGTCAAATGAAATAGAAAAAAGTTAAAAACCAAAGAACTAAAGTAAGCAAAGAGCAGAAAATGCTAAGCGAGATCAAAAGACAAAGACACAGAATATAATATTAGTGAGCTCTAAACACAGATGTTTAAAAGTATAAAACATAAAAATTATGCACAATATATAGAAATAACTTTAAAGTCTCAACCAAATAGATAGTTTTCTAGCAAATATTAATTACCTGTATTAATACAGACCAGAAGAGAAAAATAGCCAAGGAAGACATTAACAAAAATACTCTTAAAATGATCCCCTAAACAAAACTAGTAATGATAGATGATGTAACAGGAGTGCTTTATCAAGGGATATCCTTCAAGGAGAAAATAGTAGGTAACTGAAACATGATAAAAATCTCTATTCATTTTAAAAAGTCACAATTATTTTGATAACAAAATCTCATTAAGATAGTATAAGAAAAACACTTCATATGAAATTTAGAGATGCTAAAATTTTAAATAAAATACTAGCAAATCCAAATGAATTTATATTCTTGAACTAAGATCTAGTTTAAAATGTAACAATTAATATTAGGAACTTTATTCACCTAAATCATCACATTAAAAATTCAACATGTTATAGAGGTATATCAAAACATCACATTGTGTGACATGAATTTATATAATCTTTATTTGTCAATCACATCTCAGTAAAGCTGGAAAAAAAAAGGAATTCGAAGTAAAAAATAATAAAATCTCAGATGCAAAACATCAGGTGATAAAATTCAACATCCATTCCTGATTTTTAAAAAAACAAATTCTAAGAAACTAAGGACGTAGAAATTCTTCTTTACCATCTCTCTAATACCTATGGCCAACGTTGTACATTCACTGAGTCACTGAAACTAGTTGTCCAGAACAATATTTTGTCAGAACAATGAAAAGGGAGTTTGAGAAACACTGGGTTATGCAATGTTAAATAGGTTTCTAACTAAAAGACTACTGAGTACCTTTAATTAAACTGCTAGAGACCCACTGCTAATAATAATAATAAATAATAATAATAAGTCAAAACAACTAAATGACCTAAATGTCTAACAAATTATGGTCTTATTCATGCAATGAAATCTTTTGAAGCCATTAGAAATTAGTAAAAAAGAAGTAAATATAGCTATATAGACTATGTTTATTATAGAGCTGATTTTTTAAATCTATGGTATAAAACAATATATATAATACTCTATTTTATAAAAGAAGCACACATTTTCACATGTGTATATGCATAGAAACAAAGTTTCAGAAAGTCTTTTTTTTTTTTTTTAAGATTTTATTTACTTATTTGACAGAGAGATACACAGTGAGAGAGGGAACACAAGCAGGAGGAGAGGGAGAGGGAGAAGCAGGCTTCCCGCCAAGCAGGGAGCCCGATGCGGGGCTCGATACCAGAACCCTGGGATCATGACCTGAGCCGAAGGCAGACGCTTAACCATCTGAGCCACCCAGGTGCCCCAGAAAGTCTTTAAAGAAAAGGTTAACACATTATTCCTGGTTGGTGACAATGCAGATAATGTTTTCAAAAATGTTTTGTGTGTCTATATTTTCTCATTTTTCTATAATGAACATATAAAAATATTTTAAATATTAAAGGTATAAACATATCACCAAGCTAGAAATATATACGAGAAAAAATTTAAATACCATTCAAACTGACCTACTATTTCAGGGGTTCAATATATTATTTCTGGCCAATCATAATAAAAAGCCAGTGGACAAAAACATGCAAATTAATTCTTTAATAATTAAATATACTATCACTACACTAAATGTATCTTTAAAAGATTCGAAGGGTGACAACCAGAATGCTAATGCTAAAGAGAAAAACAATCATGTTGAAAACAATATGAAAAACTTGAGACACATTGTCTCTTATACTTGGAGGTGATCATACAAAAATCACTCTACCTAGAATCCAGAAGTGATAACAAAAATAAGAGAACTATCATCATCCTAGATGATGTTGTGTTAGGGCAAAACAGCATTCAGCTTAAAACACTGACACTGCAGATTTTTACTGAAAATAGAATTTCATCTTGATGGCTAATTTGCATATCATCTCAAGGATAATATGTTTCAAGGAGGCTATGTTTATGAGCATTGAGCTTTTCATTCCTCTGTGAAAAGAAGGGGAAGGAGAGCTCAAAGACTTGAATGGAAAGATCTTCCAGATTCTCTCTCTCTCCCCCCATTCATTTGCAGTTTCAGAAGTAGAGCAAGAGCACACAGTTATTGAGAAGGATTTGCATTTGGCAAATCCTTAACTGTTCTCCCACCACTTGAACAGATTCCACCAGGAAAAGAGTTATGGCAAAGTTTTCATCCAACAGCCTGGGTAAGAGTGTATCTTATGCTGGAGGCCATGGAAAAAGAAGCCAACCAGTTTTTCTCTATTTCTCTAAAAAAAAAAAAAAAAATTGAATTCTCTGTTCATATGGGTTTCAAAATCAATCTCCCAGTCTTTAAAGAGCACAGACAGCCTAGGAAGGTTGTAACTGGATCATGCAGATGCCCTGAACCTCTTGTCCGTGATCCTGTGACATAGATTCCATCCACAGTCAAACCTTAAAGACTGACAGAGAGCAAGTCAGAAAGCAGCCACCCTCTTCTCTTAGTCATCCACACCCACGCGAGGAAAACCTCTGCACTAGCTTGTCTTCTGGGCACCAAGTAATCTCATGGTACTTGTGAACAAGGAGTGTGTGTTAAGAAAGCTGAACCCTGCCTCCCTCCCCCGCCCCACCCCATACAACTAACTGTGTCAGATTCAGATTGAATAAGTACTATTTCTGTGCCAGGTGAATGATATACCTTTTGCTAATCCTTAAAACAACTCAACAAGGTAAGCATCAGAATCCCCATTTTATAGAAAATGATACAACTCAGACTGGTCAAGAACTACCCAACTAGTAAGTTATGAGAGTCAAAATTTGAACCCAGATCTGAGTTGATCTGACTTTAACCAGGGTCCTTTAACCTAACAAGGGCCACAACAACTTTGACGGTGGGTATGGATAAGACGAGTGCTGTGCAGAACTGAAGGGCTGATTAGCCTCTCTCCTATGAGAATCGGACGTGATAGTCACAAAACCGGAAAGCAGAGAACTAAATCTTACCTGGAGGTGGAGATCAAAGACAGCCAATTCCTCCCAATGTGCTCAGCGAGGGGCTGGACCCCACTCCCTACAGTGAAAGAGAAAACTGGGGTGAATTCTACAGCAGCTCTGAGCAGTTTTGCCAGGTGAGGAGAGCCTGGATGGACACAGACAGAGCAAATTAGGGGAAAGAAAAGAGGAAGGGCATGGTCTCACCCCTGGGCAATTTCGACTCTTTCCTCTTTCCTCCTAGCCTCTTTTCTCTGGCAGTCTGCAGAAAAGCCACTGACGTGCATCTCAGCTCCCAGGGCACAGAGAGAGCTGAAGCTTTTGAGCCATTTCTTTGCAATTTGCTGCAAGTTTAAGGCCACACGTGATAAAGCTTTCTGTATGAGAGAGAGTGAAAGGAGAAAAGACCACTTGTGATCTTACTTGCTGATTCCCAGAAACACAACTCTGCAGGGGGCAGAGGGGAAGGGAACAGAAGCAGGAGGAGGGGCGGAAGTTTGTAACAAAGATCCCTCCTTCTCCTTCCAAAAAGTTTTTAAGCCAGCTGCTCCTTGAGGACATCACTGGGATCCTTCTGTTTAAAAAAAAAAAAAGGCTCGTAGGCTAAATCTCTGCGTGGTTTCTTTTCTCGTTGGGATTCTAGAATCTTAGGGACTGCGTGTACCAGGTCAGGATCAAGGCTCTGCAGAGTTCTCTCTAGAAAGGGTCAATTCTCAGACACATGATCAGTTGCTCATATCCAATTTATAATGGTCTAATAGAAAAAAAGAAAAACACTGAATTTTTGGCATCCACTTGTTTATTCTATCTAAATTCCAAGGAGAGAGAACTCCTTGCGCTTAAAAATTCTACAATTATAATAAATTCTTTTCCCAAGAGTACCATTTTAGGAGATTCTGAGCAGTATTAGCTTGCATTTGGTTTATAGGAATAAATGAATTTGCTACCAGTATTACCCAAGATCCACCATATTCCTAAATGGCTGTGACTCTGGCCTGGTCACTAAACTTTACTGAATCTCAACTTCATAAAGCAGAATTTTTATTAAAATCAAAACAAAACACATTCATAGGGTTGTTTTAAAGATTTAATGATATGATGTACTCAAAAGTATATTTCAAATAACAAAGCACCAAATGACTGGAAAGTATCATCATTACATGTATAATTTCAGTTCACACAATGGTAAGGATCATTAACCAATAATCAAATATGATTATAAGCACATCTTACTACTAAAAGAAAAAAAGGATACAAGGAAAATAAAAAGAAAATAATAAATCTTACAAAGAAGCAATGGTGCATTCAGACTCTGAAAGACCAAATATTTTATTTTAGCAATCAAACCGGCCTTTGCTAGTGAGCAAGCATCACAATAGGTCTTACACTTTTTAGTGCGTCTAACAGGTGGCCATTGGTACATTTAAGGGGAAACAGTGTTTACTATCCTCACCGAGAAATGCAGTTCTCCCCTGAGAGTGTAATTTGGCCTACCCCCAATTTGCTCAAGTTCACTCTCTATCATGGTTCCTCTTCTGACCGCTTGAGTCCACAGTTCATGTTACAGTTTTGAATGTACATAATACTTACTTTACATAATAGTCAGAGCTTCTCACGTATATAGCCCCTGCATTGGACTGTATCCTACTTCCATACTGTAGACCACAGGTCAGCAAACTTTTCCTGCAAAGGGCCAAAGAGTAAATATTTTAGGTTTTGCCGACCACATAATCTCTATCAAAACCACTCAACTCCACCATTGTGGTGAGTAATTAACCATAAATGAACGAGTTTCCCAGGGCTGCAATAACAAAGTATCACAACCTGGGTGGCTTAAAGCAGCAGAACTTTATTATCTCAGTTCTGGAGGCTAGAAGTCCAAACTCAAGGTGTCAGCAAAGCCATGCTCCCTCTGAAACCTACAGGGATCCTTCCTTACCTCTTCTACCTTCAGCGCTTGCTGATAATTGTGGGCATTGCTTGGCTTGTAGATTTATCGTTTCAGTCTCTGCCTCTATTGTCACATGACCATCTTCTCTTGTGTGTCTCTGTCTTCTCCTGTTCTTAAAAGGACACCAGTCATAGTTTATTAGGACCCATTCCAGTGACCTCATCTTAACTTGATCACATCTACAAAGATCCTATTTCCAAATAAGGTCACATTCACTGATACAGGGGGCTAGGATTTCAACATTTTTTTGGGGGGGGGGGGCACAATTTAACCCAGAACATTCATATTGTCTTTTCTCTCCTTACCTGAGTTTCATGCAATTTTTTTGATCACTCACTTCTATAACGCAATGGTGCATTCCCTTGTCCATTGGTTAATTTGTTGTTCTTCCTTGGCAAACCATAGCTGGGCTAATTCAACTTCCTGTCTACTCTGTGTTTACATCCAACTATTTTCAATACTTGAAGAAAAACTCACTAACATGCCCTCAGGGCTTATCTTAAACTCATGACCTCTAACCTCATTGGGTCTTAGAGGCATTGTTAAATATACCTTTTAATAACCTAATCACTTTCCCTTTCTCCTGAATGATTTCCTCAAACTTTTCTTCCCCCCAACTTTCATTATCAACTGATGACCTTGCTTAGGGAACTCACTGATGAAATTCTAAAAATCAGGAAAGAAATACTGTATTCTGCTCTCACCACATTTACTCCCCACCTGCATGTGTATTCATATTATTTGTCTTCTTTCTATTCCTATGGATGTATGGTCCATGTTTCTAAGACTACACTTTCATCTGTACTCCTTAGCTAAAATTCCTCTTCTCCATTTCTTGTCTCACCAGTTCTGTTTTTTGCTCCCACCATTCTACCACAACTGCTTTTGTCAATAATATCAAAGACCTTCACATTAATAAGTCCAGTGATCAATTTCCAGGCTTCATTTTAATTGATCTATTAGCAGAATTGTGTACCACTGATTGTGCCCTTTTCTTTGACCCATTTTTTTCACCCAGTTTTTGGAACCCCACACTCCCTTACTTTTCCTCCTGCCTCAGTGGTCATTTTCTGTTAATATCCATTGTCACAGCACTGCACAGTTCAGTCCTTGGAATATCTTCTTTGCTCTACCTACACTTACTCCCTTATGACCTCATCCAGGCTTATCACTTAAAGTGTCATTTATAATTTAAGTTGAATGAGGTTAAGAAAAACTTTGTAGTTCCATGTTGGAACTAGGAGTTTTCAGTCTGAGTAATACATATCCCAGATCTCTGCACTGAAAAGGCCTAGAAACTCATTGCTGGTGGGAATGTAAAATGGTACACACACTTCGGAAGAGGGTTTGGTGGTTTTTTATAAAACTAAGCATATTCTTCTCATATGATCCAGCAATCACACTTCCTGGTATTTACCCAAAGGAGTTGAAAACGTATGTCTACTCAAAAACCTGTACACAGATGTTTATAGCAGCTTGGAATGCTGAAACTTGGAAGCAATCACGATGTCCTTTAGCAAGTAAATAAACAAACAGTGGTCCATCCAGACAGTGGAATATAATTCCATACTAAAAAGAAATCAGCCATGAAAAGACATGAAGGAAATTTATTTATTTTTTAAAATATTTATTTATTTTAGAGAGACAGCACAAGCACAAGTGGGAGGGGCAGAGGGAGAGGAATCTCAAGCAGATTCCTCACTGAGCGTGGAGCCCGATGCAGGACTGGATGTCAGTACCCTGAGATCATGACCTGAGCTGAAGCCAAGAGTCAGATGCTTAACCAACTGTGCCACCCAGGCACCCCAACATGGAGGAACTTTAAATGCAAATTACTAAGTGAGAGAAACTAATCTGAAAAGGCTACATTACATACTGTATGTTTCCAACTCTAGGACGTTCTGGAAAAGATAAAACTATGGAGACAGTGAAAGACCAGTGGTGGTCAACGGTTAGGGCTGGGGGTGATGAATAGGCAGAGCACAGAGGATTTTTTAAGGCAATGAAAATACCCTATATGATACCATAATGATGAATACATGTCATGATACATTTGTCCAAACCCTTAGAATGTACACCACCAAGAGTAAACCCTAAGGTAAATAATGGACTTTGGGTGATTTATGATGTGTTCATAAATAGTTCATAAGTGGTAACAACTATACCACTCTGATAGGGATATTGATAATGAGGGAGGCTGAGTGTATGGGAGCAGGGTGTATATGAGAAATCTCTATACCTTCCCCTCAATATCATTGTAGGCATGAGCTTCCATTATGTAGAATAACTGTGTGGCCCATATGCCTTCTTTATCTTCACTGTGTTCCTTATCCTACTCATAATTTGTGTAAGACAGAATTATAGCCCCCAAAGATGTCCACCCCATCATCCCCAGAAAATTGTAAATATGTTAAGTTACATGGCAAGAGAGACTTTTCAAAATGTAATTCAAGATCTTAAAGTAGGGAGATCGTTTTGGATTCTTTGGGCCCAATATAATCATAAGAGCCTTTAAAAGCAGAGGCCATTCTCTAGCTGGAGACAGAAAGGATGTAGCAGAAGTGAGAAAGTCTTACAGTCTAAGAAGGAATCATGTGACATTGCCGGTTTAAAGATGGGACTGGTGAACAAAACAATGCCTGGAGAAAGGAAATGGCCTGAAGAAGCTGAGAAAGGTTCCCAGGGGCCAGCCAGCAAGGAATAGGGGCCTCAGTCCTCTAACCCAAGGAACTCCATTCTGCCAACAACCTAAGCGAGTTCAGAAGCGGATTCTAGAGACTTCAGGGAAGATGGCAAACATCTGATTTCAATCTTGTGAGAGACCAGAAGCAGAGTCCAGCCAAGTCCGTTTGGACTTCCACCTGGCTGAGCTGTGAGCGAATAGGTTTGCATTGTTTGAAGTCACCAAGTTTGTGGTAATTTATTACAGCAGAAATAGAAAACGAATACATCATCGTTAACTACTTCGAAGTCTCTGAAGACTAGGCCTTCTATGAATTCACCCTTAGCATCTGGCAGGGAAAAGTCAGTCAAATTGACAATAGAGCAAGGAGCCGTTGTACCTCCTGAGTGCTAACGACAAAGTATGAAGCGATATGCTCCCCCCAACCCCACCACACACACAAACACATACCCATCCAGCTCTGACTGGTCCCAAGAGGCCAAAAGATCCCAGACAGCATGGGCAGCTGGACAGTTCTTCAAATCTGACAGATTTCAGCAGAAGTGGACCTTGGGCTCCTTTCCTAAGCCAGCAATGATGTCAGAAGGAATGATCAGGACATGAAGTAGCTTCAGGATTAAAGAAGCTTAAATTTATCCTAACAAGTGGAAGATTTTCTAATTATTTAAGAACTGATTTTCTTTCTTTTTTCTTTTCATTGGTTAGGGTGCATCCATATCCCAAGCTCCACCTCATATGGTTTAGCAGGCATAGAGGTGATCTGTAGAGCTGAGCCAGGACACACTGAATTGATCTAGGAGGCTTTCTACTGCCATCCCTTTGCTCTGGCCTGAATCTCAGGATCCATTGGAAAGATACATATCATCACCTCTCTTACCCTACCATGTGAATTAACTTTTCCTTACCTAAAACAAGTTTGACTGCACCTAATTGCAGGAAGGAGATGAAGGATCAGTCAGGAATAGCCAGATGTTGCCTTCCTTCCACTGAGGACCATAGCATCACTGTAAGAGGATAGCCCTGGGCGAGGGATAAGATTCACATCTCGAGAATATATTGTCAGTCTTGCTCCTTTGTGCTGTCTGTGGTTGGAAGAGTGTGTGTGTACACAAAGGAAGAAAGAAAATATGAGTATACAGTTTGTGTATATACTCCACTGATATAATTTGCCCAAGACATAGAAATATAAATGATAGATGGTTAGTTATTTGGTAGGGGATAGTTTTGGACCAGAGGGAAGAAAGCTATGAATACACCAAACATAGGAGCAGGGATTTTGTCTAATAGGTAAAGGGGAAATCTGTATGTGTAAGCTTCAAGAATTAATCCTCGAGAACTTTGGGTGGAAATCACATTTTGCTTTTGTTTCTGAGGACTCCATGTCTGAGTTAATTAAAACACTCTGAGTGTCTTGAATCCTTCAAAGTCTTTGAAAGCTTTCAAATACGTGGAACAAAAATAATTCTGAGTCTTTACAACCAAATATCCCATGTATTGGGCATCGACAGACAATCTTTATAGGATAAATTGTCCTATTTATAGGATAAAGGGCTGAACTGCTTCTTTTATAGGATTCTGAGGCTAAATGCCAGAGATCCAAGGATCTTGGTTATGGTGTTGACTATTTGATTAAAGAACGCAGCTTAGCTACAGAGAGATGAAGATTAACGCACCTAAGAATTCATCAGTGATCGGGAAGGGAATGCGAGCATGAGAATAGAAGCCCCCATGAGTCCTTAGGAATCGTAGGCAGGCCAATGGATGGCTCACTACAGCATGCATAGTCTGGGCACAAGCCGCTGCATTTGGAAATAAGAGGTAAGGATGCCTTCAAAACTGGATGGAGGACTTGAACTGTACAAATAACTACATCAAACATAATACCACAGAATTGTATTTATATTATACCCTCTTTTCACATTGTAACATCCACACTGTTCACCTGTGACACAATTCTAATGATTTTGAGTATATGTTTACTGTAATATTTTTATATATATAATATATATGTAAATATATATACATATATAAAATCTATAAAATCAAGAGGCACTTCCAGTAATTCTGGCAAACAAGGAGTGTCACTGTAGTGTCTAAGCTAATAAACAATAAAAATAAGTACAACTTATCTAATATTTTTTCTGTACAATTTTGCTTTTTACAAAATACTTATCAGCAATTAAATAAATTACTTAAATAATTAAGATAGGAAGATATGAAGTATTGCTGCATATATTAAGTGCAAGGTACAGGTGAAAGGAAAAGATTTATTTCAGTTGCAAAATGATCACTTAAGTCCAATGCTTCACTTTTGGGTTTCTGTAAGTTGATAAATTTGGAAAGTTATTAATAAACATATTCAATTGAGAAGTGGTAAGAATTACCTTGTTAAAAACTGTCATGTGCAAATGACATCCCCTATACTGTTACTTTGGTTGGTACTTCTTTGAAAATATTGCTTTTTAGGAATACTAAATTTGGTTTGCAAGTACTCAAGAAGTCAAATATTTGGGACATGCTAATTTAAACTTTCCAATGGCAGTTTTTTGTTTTGTTTTGTTTTTTGGGTTTTCGGTCAGGAAAAGGAAAAAATAATGACAATCAGAACAACTGTTCCATCGGGAATAAGAAACCCATTTTAACACCAAAAACCAAATCAAATTAACCAAATTAACTCAAACCAAAAATATTCTAGATTCAAATTACAGTTCTTTCAGTTGCACATCCTAATAGCATTATAGAAACCCAGGGAGATTCTCATTTTCATTATTTGTTTCATTTATTTGTTCTGAAAGTTTCAGAACATTTATAAAAGCACCAATTTTCATTTTGTGATTTGCATGATAAAAATCCTCAGGAAGAAATATCAGGGGGTGGGTGGGTTCAGTGATATTTATTTCCAGTGCTCATCAACTAACAAACTGTCCTTGTTGGAACAAAAAGGGTATGTATTCTTCGGTGAGAATGTATCAAGAAGTAAAGTGATACTCAAAAATGGAAAACACAAACAAAACCACCAGTTAAGCAAAACATAATATGGTGAAAATCCCATGCAAATATTTCACAGAGTATTAAAAAATAGTGATTTTAAAAAACAACAATGAACAAGTATATACTAAAAGTCAGGCCAATAAACCCCACTAACAAGTAATATACAGGTATGTTAGGGTTATCATTTAAAGATAGCAACACTGTAGTACTGCTTTATGCTTATAACTAGCTAAAACAAAATATGATAGGAGTTGCTTGAGCCATAAAAATAATCAGTTAACTTTTAAAAGAAGACTGATGGAAAATTCTAACAACCAACAAGTTATATACACAAATAAAACATCTCTAAACAATTACTTTTAATTTTGCATTAAATCATCCAAATATTTTGCTATAATATAGGGAGTAAAATTACTAGTATAAAAAAAAAAATTCCTTCCCTTCAAAAGGTACTCAAGCAGCAGTTTCCAAGCTCCAAGGGCTAATTCACATTCCAAAACATGTGTAAGTGCTGAGTGTAATAAAGGAAGTCAGGGTTGAAATATGGATCCATTAAGTCCCTTTACTCCAGAGTAACTGATAACTAAACTGGTTTGTCACAAAGATGGAGGGGTATCCCGGGGTGATCCTTCACATTTTATGTAGTGTTCACTCCCAAACCATAGCTCTCCCCTCCGTTTTTTTTTTTTTTTTTTTTTTAATACCACGGGCTGCACAATGAAACCAGGCATGGCGAGTTAGAACTTGGGGTGAAAGGCGTTCTTTCTCCTTATTGTGGCAGAGAAGTTCTGATTCCTTTTGCTTTACTATTTTGAGTTAGGGAAATAAAATTAAAGAGAAGCCCCACTTTTCTCCTATAAGTTTGACTTTGGTTTTTTTGTGTGTTTTTGTTTTTGATTTTTTTAAGAGGGAAGGGAGACCATCCTGCTACAATTTGTTTCATTTGAAAGAAGTACTTCTGACACTGAAATTTTAGTTAAGGCAGTAAAGTTTTAAAATCGTTTTTTAAAAAATTTCTTTTCTATTAATGAATTCCAAATTCCAACCTACCATTTGGTCAGTCTTGGTAGATGAAGCAGTGGGTGTGGATTATTGCCTGGTCAGTGCTTCATCTGTGAAAGTCAAGATTAATAAGATGTGATTTTCTTAGTAATGAAGATAAGTATTTGGCATTTTCAGTGTGTTACAATTTAGTAAAATATAATCTACATTAATAGACCACTTATTTTAAAAACAACCTAATCCATGATAAATTGCTGGATAATACATTTCTTTTTCTTGGGAAAACCCAGAAGAACTCGGGCTATAATTTGTACACTTGATCTAATTAAACTATTGGGACTAAATTTATTTTTATCTATTTCATGTATTTCTTGGACCCTCCATAAAGCATTTGCTCCCTGAGGCATGACATACCTTAGAAAAAGAACTAAATACTCTTTCCAGTTTTCTGTTACACAATAGTTCTGATTATATCAATATATTTAACATCTCTATACCATGGAATGCCATTTTGCAAGTTTTGTTTTAGTCAAATAATTAAAAAAAACAATTTTTTAAACAGCTTTGGCTCAAAAGCTTAATCAAATTTAAACATTCTTGATAGTACTTACATAGGATGTTTTAATATTACTCTCTTTGAAGCATTTTTTGATTGAATTATTTGCATGATCAAAGAACCACTTCTTGATGTGAAGCAATGAAGAAACCTTTCTGAACATGGACATGTTCAGTAGTTCTTATCAAGAAGGCGTCGGCTTGACTTCTCTTCTCTGTTCCACCACTCCTCAGGGAAGCAGAAATCCATGAATACCAATGCCTGTCAAGGCAATCAACCTCAGAAGTATAATATGGAGAAGAACTAGCTGCCCTTAGATAGGAAATTCAGGCTCTTTTTAGAACCTGAAGCATATACCAAAAACCAATTTTGTTTTTCATCTCTATATAAGTCCACGTAGTTTACGGTCTTACTGCACTTAAACAGTTAATGGAGGATCAGTCTTTTTGAATCTGCGGATGTGAACACTGAGTTCCACCAAATAATAAAGCTTTAATGTTCAGTTTTGGATCTCCAAATGTATTTTGCAACAAAATGCCCAATTCTTTTGTGTCACCATTGTTAACCTGCTGTTAGAATGGTTTTATAGTATGAACGTAAAGAACACTTCAGGTGAGGTAAAAGCACCATTAGGTAAGGGAAAAGCAGCATCATTTTAACAAATGAAATGGGTGGTGATACACAAATGCCCTACCATCCATGGTGCATCATGGAGACTGAAAACCCTGTTCTTGTTCTCTGACCATGGATCATCAGTGCTAAACATGATAAATACCATGCAAAACCTCAAGTTAAGTTATTCAATGCTCTGTTTGCAGTTTCATTAACTCAGTGCTTATAGTCTAGTTAATTTATCCCAAACTTGCTATAAGAATTTGAATATTTTCTAGAGGAACAACCTGATATGAATATAGGACCTAAAACTTGCATAATTTGCTCTGATTAGAAGTTCTACAAGTAATTTAATTTTGGAATGCTCCTCATCTAAAATGGCTACTTGGTTTCCTAATCTTAAAGTGGAATTCTGTTGAACAGATTAGAAACAGACTGACAATATCGGCAAATTCAGTTTTCTTTCATGGAAAAATCATGAGAGAAATGAATGACCTAGAACAATGATCATAAGGTATTTTGTTGCTTGTTAGGAGAAAAGGTGAACAAAGGAAACTCAGTTTGGATTCAAACTATATAGATATTTTAGCTCTCAATGGTCTGGAGTTGAGCTATTAGCATTTGAAATTTTATTGATATTTTCTTTCCACGTGCAGGAGCTGATAATCTCTAGAATAAGGAGAATCTTGATTTACCCCAGACTACAAAAGTTTACAAAACTCTGTTTTACTAGAGCCTTCTGCCAGTTTGAAAAGACAGTTTATTTCCAAAGCGGCATATAAGCTAGAAAGCCATCAAGTGGGGACTCAGCGTCAGGATGGAAGAGAGGACAGTAAGATCCTTACTGTGGTTTTCATTCTTGTTTTAGAAATATCTTAAAAGGCAAGGAGTGGAGATCCCCATACTGACAGAGAAGCACCAAAAAATACCTGCCAAAGTAGGAGAGAAATGAGTTTTTGATTATTCACTTCTCATTACTCAGGAGATGTTCATCACACAAATAGCTCACTTTTGTAAAACAGTCATTTCAAACTTTAGACTTTATTTACGATGATAATTTTCATATCTTTATTACTTAGAAAATAATTTATATTTTTCCACCATTTAAACAAAGAATAGGCCTGAGTCTCATGCGTTTTGCACAGCTTTTACCCTCAAAGAAAGTTCTCTGGGCACGTGACAGGGGACGTCAGGAAATCGTAAAACAAGAGAGGCAGGGGACATGAGGAAATCACAATACATAGAGGTAATATGAACAGTCTGCATGTCCTACAATCCCTTTTCTTTAGTTTTACTGGGATTGCAATGGTTAGGGTTTGTTCTGGAATTCCATCAAAATGGAACACACAGAATTGGGTATTCTTTTAGAAAATGAGTATTTCCTTAAATATGAGGACATCCCTTCACTTGTCAGATGAAGACCAATACAGATCTATCCAGAGCTACTGTCTTCATCTTCCACTGAGAGCAAAACTAAGTCTTATACAAATGACAAAAAATACAATTTTATCACTTAGAAAAAAACTAAAGTGGTGTTTTCACCAAGGAAACAATATCCTAAAGGTTGGCTTAGACAGATAACTGAAAAAACATTCTATGAGCACACTGGAAAGAACACCAATGATGCTCACAGGATACCTGGTCTTTTCCTTAACAGAAAGTGACCCCTAGCATCAAGGTCACCAGTTCCAAATTTTTCTACCATTGGTTTTATGGCTATCTATACAATTACCCCTTTTCCTAAATGGGCTAGAAATTCCTTCATTTGAAAGACCTGAGTTTATCTAATGGCACCATTACATAGGCTCATATAAAAATGTAGTAAATGGCAACAAATACACTGGCACCACAGGGAGTAAGCTCCAGAGTTGGAAGTGAACACAATAATATTGCTGTCACCAAGGCGGGGGTGAATATCATCAGCGGAAAACATCTCTGTATGTCCCTAGGCATCCTTTGGGATGTCATGTGTGTGTATGAAAGTCTCATACTTGATCTCCATTCCTTTATTTCAATGGATTTTTCACTTTAATAGATTGGGAATTTATTTTTGAAGAAAAAATAGTCAATCTGCCTGGACTGATGAACACAATTCTGGAATGAAGAGGTTCTAAGTGCTTTGGCCACCATTACTTCATGTATTTTAAAACAAAATAAATGAAACCAGGTAGTTTGCTAAGACCTCTACTCTGGCAGTCAGGCTGGCCCCTATTTGGGGCTTTCCAGCCTTGACAAAGCTGCCAGTGTATGCTTCTAGACTCTCAACTGAACGGCTGTCATTCCACTTGCTCCACAACCATATTTTTCCTCTACTTAACAAGTGTTTTAGATATGTATGGCATTTGGAGAAAGGGAAAAGATTCATTTTGTTAAGGAATTAAATGCAAGAGGTATATGAGCACAATTTTTTTTTTTCCTCCTCTCTTATTTGCAAGGGCTGGAGAACAGTTAAAGTCACTGGGGAAATAAATGTATCTGACTCACAGTAATTTTTGCAAACATGAGACACACAGGCAACACTAAGAAAATGGAAAACAACTCAGTACATCCTGAATAATGAAGACATAGTGTGAAGTCAAAAAATATGAAGTTATTCTCATTATTTAAGTAGAGCCTGCATTTACTTGAGCCTTTTCATTTTTTCTTACTTAATGGGAAATTTGCTTTGAAAATGTATTTGTTTTTGATCATATTATCTTTGCCTTGTTTGGAAAATGCCACGGGTTAATGTACAATCATTATTTTGGGAGGGAAGAATATTCATTTATGAGAAACAAAGGCATCTTTAAAATGTAAACACTCTTTTCTATGACGTCAGAGGAAATAAAGATTAGAAATCACCATCAAGGCCTCCTTAGAAGCTAAGATCATTTCAATGATGAGCAGTTGCGTACATAGTGTTGAAAGAGGAATTATGACCAAAAAGTGTTGGCAAGAAATGGACACCAAACATAAAAATTCGGTATTGGTTAAGAAAGTCTTTCTCTTTGGGAGACATGGACCCCCAAATTACACAAAAGTTAGGAAAAGTTCCCAGTGAAAAAACCTTCTTTGTGGCATCCTCATTTAATTGGCATAAAATAACTGTATCAGATTATCATTTAAATTAGGATAGGTAGATAAGCGGCTGTCCATAGACCTCCGTGCAAATGAATCATCACTCTCTTACTGGGCTTGGAGATAGATACAATGTATAAAAATGGTGATTAAAATATAACTTTATAAAAATGTTTCCCTTTTCCTTTTTTTTTAAAAAAAGAGTTTACTATCTACAGAAACAAAAAAATCTTATATTTACATCAAGATAACTATTCATGACAAATATAATAATATGAAATAAAATATTGAAAGTGAGTATCAACTTTTTAAATAGAGGTTTGGCTCACAGCATAAACAAGTGTAGATAAACAAAATTAAAAAAAAAAAAAAGACTTTCAATAATAGGCCCAGTCCCTCCCAAATCCCTCTATAATCTTCCCTGCCAAAAGGAACAGACAACGGACCAGACTGCAGATAGAAGCCACCCCATCCCACAGCACGTGGACCACCACAACAGGGCCATCAGTGGGAACTTCGCCACGCAAAGCCAATCTTCAACAGTTGCCAAGAATCGGTCTTTCACTATGTCAACAAACACCAAACGCCGGGATGAAATTTTCCCCCTTCATCTCTCACTATATATCCTCCCACAGTGGGTTTTTTTGTCTTTTTTCTTTCTTCTTTTTCTACCACGCATTTTGCAGCAAACTAAGACACAGGGTATCACTGTTAGAGCAATTCCCCAGGTCTTCTCTGTCAACGTTTGAGAATTCTAACCCAATTAAAAGGTCTGCCTCCAGCTCCTTCTTAGGCGTTTATGTATAAAGAATGCTATCCCCTTAAAAAGGTGATTTGATCTTGGGTGAGTGACATACTCACAAACAGCTGCTATACATTCATTAGGCAAGTAGATTGGAAAATGCCTGTCTCCCAGGTTTAAGGCTGGCGATAGAGCGCCTCCAAGTGGTGCATGAGCAGTAGTACCAGTCACGTGGCCCTCTCACCAGCCTGTGAACACCCTCCCTCTGCGGAGGGATCTGTACTGAAACTGCATGGAGCAAGGCGTTTGGGACGGCGGCCTCTCAAAGACACTCCAGAATGAACTGCCTTCTGTTTGTTCAGATGTGCTGCGTCATCTGCTGCAGCTATTCTATGAACTACTAAAACCATAAAAATCTCTGCATACACACATACATACACACAAGCACTCTTTCACTCCTCTCTCTCACACACACATTCACACACACACACACACAACACACACAATGTTGGCAGGATGTATAAGAATTCAAATAATGCTCTGGAACTTTCATCCGTCAGGACTAAGAGCAAAAGCTCCTTAGTTGGTAACCTACATTCACTGCACTGTTTCCCTGCTAAGCCGCACCATTGCCTTTGTGATTTGTTTTCCTTTATTTTTTCCTTTATAACTTATTATATCACAGTGACCACTATATATCTTAATATGAATGTTACTAAATTGTGGAGCCAGTAACCCTGGCTTTCAGTGTGCATGTGCGTGTATGTGTGTGAATATGTTTTACATGTATCTACGTGCGAGCTTATATACACACACATATATATTTCTTCCTTTAAAAAAATCCTTAGAAGCTGGTGTTGCAAATGTGAAAGCTTCTCTGAGCAAGAGTTTTTAACAATGTACCTCACTGTAAAAATAAACACATAAAATGCGAAGAATCCCAAAATGCAATAGCTGTTTGCCCATCTTCTCGTATTTCTACAGTGTTGTGTCTAAGTGTTGTGCTGGCTTGAAAAAGTCTGTGACAAGTCACTCTGTTTGGAAACACAGCTCATTGTATCCAACTGTCACTGGTTTTGCTCGGCGGTTGGGATCTCCTCTCCTCTGGGCTTCCCTTTCTCTTCCTCCTCTTCCCTGATGGCCTGGATCTGATCTGAGGAATGCTGCTGGGGGGACGGGTCCAGGGACAGATTCTCTAGGCCCGCCAACCGCTGTTCCTCTTCAATGACTTTCTTCCACATCTTGTGGTTCTGCAGGAGGTGCTGAGTTATTTGGCAGTAGATTTTCCTCCTTTTGAAAGTTTTCTTTCCTGAGAAAACACCAAATCACTTATTTGTGTGCTCAGTTATTTCTTTTCACATTATTAATAGGAGCTAGGTACCAAATGGATACATATAGCATTGGATTTGTTTATCACAATGACGTTTGTGAGAGTGGGGAAATAAGAGGAAGACCGCAACAATCAGTCATAAATCATGAAGACATACTGTGAACAGGATTCAATGTTCAGTAATGCCCAATACAAAGTTTTGCTTGCTTCTTGGTATTATTCTCAATACACTCAGATCCTCAAGACTGTTCACCTAGACCACTGGAAGAACCTCTTGTTATGTCTTTCTTCACTTTGTCAACTAATTCAACTCCCACAAGTCTACAAGATTGATTTCTTTAAAGTTGGTTTCAGTGTTATTGTTCTGCTTCATGCGGACTAAAAAATTAATGTCAAACTCCTCTCAAAGTTCTCCCACAAGAGGCACAAACCCACGTTTGCAGTCTTCCTTCTTCTACAGCCTGGCTTCTGTCTCTACTTCACTGTTCTCTCTCCTGTATATACTGTGAACTCTTCTGCTTTCAAGCTGGTACTGCCCTCTTTCTCAAATGCTCTTCTCAGTCACTGAAAGTTCACACCCATTTATTTTAAGACCCAGTCCGGGTTCACTGAATTCCTCCTCTAAGAAACAATCTCTCCCTCTCCCTCTCTTCTAAACTCTCATTTCACTCCATATATACTTCTCAGAGTACAGATTGCTTTCATTTTTTTTCCTTTCTCATTATCATTACCTCTTTTTCTGATCACCGTATAGCCAAAATCATTGAGTGGAAACTTTCATCCCTTTTTTAACTATGTAGTTCTAGAAAAGGTTGTCAAACTCTACTCCCCCCACCCTTCTGACAACACAGCTGTGTTGCAGTGAATGGTCAAAGGGTATATATGTGACCCAAATCAGGTCAGCTAGAGTCCTTCCCTGGGATTTTTCCCAATGGCACAGAATGAGAATGAGTAAGGGAATGGGGACTGGGGATCTTTTCTCCTCTGCTTGTTTATCTGGAATGAAGGGAACATAGAGCTGGCTATAGTTCCAGTCTCATGAAGAAAGCAAGGTTGAAGATCAGGCTGTCAGGCAGGGGACTGTGAGACGGGGCAGGTGCAAGTAAGCATGGATATTAGACAACATTAGGTTTACCTGAACGAATCATTTTCCCTTTTGTATATGTTCACTTGATTGGAGTCTTGTCACTTGTAACAAAAACATCTTCCTTGGTAATGTGCATCCTTTAGGGCACTTATCTTGTTCTCATATATTCTAGGCATTAGCCCCTCTATTAGACTCAGCTTCTTTTAGGGAGCCTTGTAAAGACCTACGTACACCTTATACAGAACGAGGCTCAGCAAATATGCTTGTAAAGATAAATTACATTGTCTTGGTGACCCAAACAGTTCATGTTTTCAACATAGAAGTACTGAAGCCAATTTTCACAGAATTGCATCTCTTGGTTGAGGAAGTGTAATAAAATCAATTTCAACAGAAGAAACAGAAGATATGTTAAAGAATTTGAATTGATACCATTAATTCACTATTTAGTCTTCCACTTCCTTACCTATTTATTAAGCACCTAATACGTACCAAGGTTCTGGTCATTCACTGATAGACATAATGCTTGCCAGCATGGAGTTTTTACTCTAGTGGGGAGACAGTGAAAAAGCAGGTGCAATCACACTGAGTCTTACAGAGTCTTTTGAAGGTGGCAGGAAGAGAGAAAAAGGACTCAGCTGAGAGGATATGGCATGATGATGGTGGCTTGGGATGGGGTGAAGGTAACGGAAATGAAGAGAATTTGATAAATGTGAGATACATTTGTGAGGTTTAATCAACAGGACTTTGGCAACTGATTAGATGTAGGGAAAAAAGAAGAGGGAGGAATCAAGTTTAAAAAAAGAGCTACTCTATGGCCCAGCAAATGCACTACTAAGTATTTACCCAAAGGATAACAAACATAGTGATTTGTAGGGGCACATGCACCCCAATGTTTATAGCAGCAATGTCCACGACTGCCAAAATATGGAAAGAGCCCAAATGTCCCAAATGACAGATGAATGGATAAAGATGTGGTGTATATGTACAATGGAATATTACTCAGCCATCAAAAGGAGTGAAATCCTACCATTTGCAATGACGTGGATGGGACTAGAGGGCATTACACTAAGCAAAATAAGTCAGTCAGAAAAAGACAAATACCATACAATTTCACTCATATGTGGAATTTAAGAAACAAAACAGATGAACATAGGGGAAGGGAGGGAAAAAAAATAAGATGAAAATTGAGACAGAGGTAAACCATAAGAGATGTTGGACTCTAGGAAACAAACTGAGGGTTGCTGGATGGCAGGTGGGTGGGGGGATGGGGTAACTGCGTGATGGGCATTAAGGAGGGCACTTGACGTAATGAGCACTTTGTGTTATATGCAACTAATGAATCACTAAATTCTACCTCTGAAACTAATAAAAAACAAAACAAAACAAAACAAAAACCCTGAGCTGTCTGGCCTGAGGTGTTGAGTAGCTGGTATTAAGATGTACTGAGAAAGGCAACGTTAGGTGAGGAGATTTGAGGGGGACGCTGAACATGAAATATCTGGGAGACCTTCAAGGGCACGGGTAAAGTAGGCAGCTCATCTTGAGCTTAGAAAAGGGTCTGTTCATGGCCAGAATATAACTCTTAGTACCTTTATCTGAGTGACCATTTTAGACTTAGGCCAAGAATTTAGAAAATAGGCTAAGATCCCCTCTTAGACTGTAAACTTCCCTATGGACAGAAACCTGTTCCTCCTTTTGTATGTATATTCACAAAGCTCCAGACTTCAGTAAGTATTCAGTAAGAGTTTACTAGATGAATCATGTTCTCCCTAGTCTCTGCTCCACAGTTGCAAGTAAATGGTGAAGTGTTGATATGTCATAAAAATGACAATGATATGGAAAAGTGGTCCACAGGATATTCTGATCTAATTGAGACTACATTAAGAGTTAATAGTACAGATTACCAGGATGGTCAGCAGGGATATTTGGGTTTACTTAATGAAGTAGCAATGATTCACAATGTATAATCTGGGGGAGGGGGAGGAAGAAAAAAAAGAAGAAAAAATAGTAACAATGAGAAAAAAAATCTGTTTGCTATAAGGGGTGCCAAAGGAACTAGATCTCTTGGAAGACATCCACCAAAATTTTTATGGAAGTACTAGTGATTCCTTCCACAGTTTTATTATAATATACTACAAAAATTTCTTGCATTTTACAGGATAAGATCGATTTAAAAATACAGATCAAATAAAAGGACATTAAATTCAATTATCCTGAATTACTTTTGAACCATACAGACACATAACGAAATCATTAAGTTGAATAAATGCCAGAGGGAATGGATACAGGCAGAGTCATAAGCAAAAATTTAAAAAACAATTTACTGTATTATTTTATTTATGAGATAAACCCATCAATCAAACTTATATTGACCACCTATTAATTGACAAGCAATTTTCTGGATGCTACAGACAGGAAGACTGATTAGTCCAAGAGCTTGCCTTAAGGGAGCTTGCAGTTTATAGGGAAGAGAGCAAAGAAGACAAAAAACGAAATACACATGCTGTATTTGTGTTTTATGACAATGTACGCATGTGATCAAGATGGTATAAATGTTCCCCTCACCTTGACTAAACTTTAGACTGGTTTCTTCCAGATTATAGTTCTCTGACTTCCCTTTCCTTATAGCATTTACTTTATAAGAGTTGAAAGTGCAAATACCTTCTCCGCTCCTTTGTAATACAGATAAATCTTCTCCCAGCTTCTAGCCAGTTTTATAACCCAGGAACATCTTTCTCAAGTACCTGGGTGTGATTCTTTTGAAATTAAATCATTAAGAAAAACAGGGTCCCTAACTTCCAGTCTCCATGGGAGGGTAAGTGCCCAACTTCAACAAGTACCAATTAGCAAACAGATGGCTCAATCACATTGACCAACTTCCCTCTAAGGTCCTATAGTACTTTTTCAATAGCTCAGGCTAGTGCTTAAAAATTCTCCTGCCTTAGTTTCAATAGAGTTGAGTTTAATATCTCTTCCTATTGCAATAATCTTGAATAAAGTCTTTTTTGACATTTTTAATAAGTGTGCAGTGCAATTTCTTTCTGAGACATCAAACCATGGCAACACACATGACTCGATCTGCAAGGGAATGGGTAAGATTTTTTTCAAGGGATAGCACACCTGAGGTGAGATGTAAGTCTTGAGAATTAAACACACTGGGTGAAGAAGTTGTGGGCAGGATCCCAGGCAGAGTGAGAGGCATGTATACAGACAGAAGGTGATGGAGTCCTGGAGCATGACATCAATTTCTTCATTTGAAAGTTTCTTAATAAGGACACACACACACACACACACACACAATTTAAAGAAATCTGAATTATTTCTATAAAAATCAGTAAGATATATTACTACTACATTAGATTTTTTTTATTAGAGAGAGGGAAGGAGGGGCAGAGGGAGAGAGAGAATCAGGACTCGATCCCATGACCCTGAGATCATTACCTGCGCTAAAATCAAGAGTCAGACGCTCAACCGAGCCACCCAGATGCCCCTACATTAGGTTTTTAAAAGCACATTTATAAAATTCTTCTTCTACCAAAGCCATCTACTTGCCTATTTCTACTTTGTTTTTATTGTAGTTAGTACAAATCAGTTTCTGTTGAGAAATTTTTAAATGTTAATATACTTTTTTTTTTTAAAGATTTTATTTATTTATTTGACAGAAAGAGACACAGCAAGAGAGGGAACACAAGCAGGGGGAGTGGGAGAGGGAGAAACAGGCTTCCCGCGGAGCAGGGAGCCTGATGCAGGGCTTGATCCCAGGACCCTGGGATCATGACCTAAGCTGAAGGCAGACGCTTAACGACTGAGTCACCCAGGTGCACCTAAATGTTAATATACGTTTTAACCTATACTTTGAATCAAGAGAGTTCCACATGAGCACTGGCTAAAGGATAGATTTGAATCATGGTGATAGAAGAAATGCTACTACTCAAGGTGATTACTCCATCTGAATGTCATACACATTCATGGCAGTGTATTCATAAGGAAGAGGTAACAAAAGCTCAATTTTTCTCTTTTTCCTTTCAGGGCAGCCCCCATGAGAACAGCTGTTCTCTTATTAATGCTGTTAAATGTTAGCAATAAATCTCTCTGGAATTAAACTGAATAAGGTGACGTAGAAGAAAGTTTGTACCAAATAAATTTGCGTAGATTAGAGTCTGCAGGTGGTCTAAAACATGCCTGTATTGGGAGCCAAATTGTTCAGCACTGGAACCTTTTGAAATGAGAACAAAGAGCCTTTCATTGCTCAAATTCTAAATGCAGCTTAGTACTTCATTAGAAACCTCTTAGTTCGCTGTAGGAATCTTTCAGATTTAATTATGAGGTTGGGAAAAAGCCTTCTTTCCCTAGGATACCATATTGAAACATTTAATTCTGTGTTTCCTGGGAGAGCTCCAAGTTTCACAAATTGCTGAAATTATCAGTGCATGTTTAATCTAAATTTTTTCTGAAATCTAAGTTTGAGGCTAAATCAAGTTAACCATCTCAGTCAATATGATTATGAAATTAAAATTACTAGGATTCTACAGCAGTAGAGTTTGGAGAGCTAGGTTTGGAGAGCAACGTATCTGAATCTGGAAGTCAGTATGGCAACTTAACCCTACAGAATGAAAAGTAATTGAATATCTGGTTGTTGCGCTTGCTGCTAAAGCCAACGTTGACAAGTTGAGCCTGTTAAATCTCCTGCCCTGTGTTCTTCGATTCTTGATGCCTGTATTATGTGTGTTTTTTTTCAGTGTGTTTGAGTTCAAATAGCAATCAGTAAGGGCCCATGGGAACAAAGCTCTTCCAAGAGGCTAAGCCTACAACACTTTCCAATGTCACTCAGTGGAAACAACAACTGTCCTGTCCTTAGACAGCAAACTACCGACTCTTTGAAATGAAAACAAAAGAAAGAAAGAGAGAGAGAGAGAGAGAGAGAGAGAGAGGAAAGAAAGAAAGAAAGAAAGAAAGAAAGAAAGAAAGAAAGAAAGAAAGAAGGAAAGAAGGAAAGAAAGAAAGAAAGGAAGAAAGGGAGGAAGGGAGGGAGGGAAAGAGAGAAAGAGAGAAAGAGAGAAAGAGAGAGAGAGAGAGAGAAAGAAAGAAAGAAAGAAAGAAAGAAAGAAAGAAAGAAAGAAAGAAAGAAAGAAAAGGAGAAAACCAATACATATTTATTAAATGAACAAGTGAAAACATAAGCCATGAATCCCAATCTTGGCTCCAATCTCTGAATCTCAGGATCAGCCCCAAATTGCTAATGGGAACATTTTTATAAGCACCAGAGATATAAAATACAGTTACTTTGATAATAGAATATTGAAGGAAAACAACTTTTGACACTCCCCTCATTCTGTACCCAAGTTAATATATAGGACAGAACTTAGGCAAAAATTTGGCCTAGAACCAAATTTGCAAAACCCTCATCAGTTTATACTTAATAAAGATCTCCCTATCTCTGTTTTGTAAGCTTACAACAGAGTACTTATATGAGGGCAAAAATGGGCCAATACCCACATTAGACTGTATTTACTGGATGGCTGAGATGAAATGAGTCATGAATTTTCCTGACTGTGCTAAAAAACAGGAACAGATGATCAGAACGTCTCTCTTTGGGGTAATATTTCGGGTAAGCACTTTGAAAACAATTACGACTGTACTTTCTTTCTGAAGGCAGATGTAAACCACATACTATGTTTTCGTGAACACAAGAATAGTATTTGTGCAATAGCACTGTAAGGGTTATGGGTTTTACTAATTACGCTGTTTGGGTCTCCTCCCTGTGACAGGAGAAATAGCAGAGAATATTTCAAGACGAGAAGAAAAATAATCTCTTTTTATAGTCAGGTTAGTTCAAATGGATTAGTTTGGCTACATGATGTACTCCAAATCAATGACCAGATGGAAACACTTTTCATCGTCCTTAATGTGACTACTCTGTCTGGTTCAAAGCCACAATCCTTTCTCACTTGGGTAATTTCAACAGCCTCTTAACTTATTACCCTCACTCTACCCCACACTCAAGAGTATTCTCAATACAGCAACTGAGGCAACCTATCTAAAATATAAGCTCAATCAGCTAACTCTTCTGCGCAAAATCACTGATGGCTTCCCACCTTACTCAGAGCCCCACCTTCAAACCCTATATCATCTGGCTCCCCACCGCCTCTCTCCTGCTGCTCCATCACCCCCTTTCCTCTGTCTTGGCCACTCCAGCCCTCCCCATGCTTCTTGAACACCCAGCCAATGCCCACCTCAGGACATTTATATGGTTTGCTTTTCTCTCTCCTTGGCACGCTTTTTCCATCTATACTTCCATGGATCATTCCCCCACTTCTTTCACTCTTTTTTTTTTTTTAATCTTTTTTATTTAGACCATCTGTGGCTACCTTATCTAAAATTTTAACCTCTCTGCAATATTTCATATCCCTCTTCCTTTTTTTTTTTTTAAACTCTAGCATTTATCAGTATCTCACATGTTAGAGACCTACTGATTTGTCTTGCTTAGTGTCTACTGGAAAAAAAGTCTAAATAGGCAAGGATTTATTTATATTTTGTCTGATTTGTTCATGGCTCTATCTTCAGTACTTGGAAGAATGCCTGGCACAAAGTAGATGCTTAATAAATATTTGTTACATGAATGGGTGATAATTACCTCTTACCGCTTCACATGGCCTTCCTCCAACTAAGCCAACAAAAGTCTATGGTTGCTCTAGATGGTATCTGAAATTCCTTTCATCTCTAAATCATTAAGATACCCTGAAGAACAAGTTTCAACTGCTTAATTTCTCTTTACTTCTTAACAGGGGCTGTATCTTTGTATGAATGTGGTATTATAATAGATTCCATTATCTGTAACTTCTAGGGTTATGATATTAGGGAAGGGAGGTTATACACAATCAGATGATGATGGTATCTAGACACAAACTATGCAATTCATGAGAAGCATAAAATTTATCTGACCTATGTTAAAAAAATCTTAGGAAAAATACAGTAGAAATAGGTTTTATAAAACTTACTTGGAGATTCATTATTTTCACAGGTTTCCTCTTCATTTGGTGCTTCCTCCTCCTCTTCTTCTTCTGCGTCATCAGTATCTCCTGACTCATCACTACCTTCCACCCATTTCCCTGGCATTAGTCCTGCTGAATCATAGGAGTTGCACAGAGGACCCACAATGTGAGAGATGAAGGATTCCTGAAGATTGGCCAGCTGAGGAGCAGAACGGTCCATGAAGGGGCTTATTGGTAACCCAAGGCTGGCCTCTTCATCACCCTAGAAATAGGAATTTAGCATGAAGAGTCGACCAGAAAGATAAATGACATGGAAAGTTAAAAATACTAGTAAAGTTAACATTCACTTGGCACCTAAAATCTGCAATTATGTAAGAACCCAGATATTCATGTGTGAACTCCCTCTTTTACTTGACTGCTAAAAGATTCTACCCAAATTGCTAAACGATTCCTGTCGAAATGATTTGTTGCCATTTATCACTTTGGTGATCTTGAGTTTTTGGCTTTGATCAAAGGGCAATAGAAGAAATGGTCTAATGTCTTAATAGATAGTATTTCTTATTATGTCAGTCCTTGTTCTATTAGAGTATAAATGTACTTCAAAATGCAATCCTGGGAATAATTATGAAACAAATACATAATCTATCATGCTTTCTTCCTTTTGCCTTGGCTGCCAGTAAAGTTTAGAATAATTTATTGCTCAGTTAAAGGTGCTACCTTATCCCAGCTTTTGGTTGAATTATATCTTCTGTGATTATATGATTTCTGATATTGCTTGTCAACATGTTTAATAGTACTACTGTATAAGTGTTTTTATTTTAAACTACTTCAAATCTTTCTGGAAAAAAAATAGACTGTCAACCAGTAGTCACCTAGCAAAATTAACGAAGGAAATATACTGAAATATCAACAATGGTTATGTCTATGTAGTAGAATCATCATAACCGAGTTATCATTTTCCTTTTTTTTATTTCTTTATTTTATTTCTTTTATTTTTTTAAGATTTTTACTTATTTATTTGAGAGAGAGAGAATGAGTGGGGGGAGGGGCAGGGGGAGAGGGAGAAGTAGGCTCCCCACTGAGCAGGGAGCCCAACATGGACTGGATCCCAGGACCCTGGGATCATGACCTGAGCCGAAGGCAGCCACTTAACCAACTAAGTCACCCAGGTGCCCCTATTCTTTCTGTATTTCAATATTTGGAGATTGATTATGAATTAATCTCATTTCTAGAAAAGGCAATACATTATTTTCTAGAAAGTACAAACCTTTTATCCTATGTATGAGTCCTGTCTATAAAACCCACAAAAGTTCTTTCTAATCCCTCTTCAATTATGTCCAGTGATAGCTATTTATTACTTAAAAAGGTGCCTCATTTTATTTCTGGATACCTTTTTAATACATATTTCTTTCTCACATTGTCTTGAAATCAATCTCCCTATAACTTCTATAGACTGAAAGACTTCTATAGACTTCTATAGGAGAAATCTACTGTTTCTTATAAATCAGACCCTGTGTTAAGTGATAATTTTCTTTAATCTCCCCAACATGATACACTTAATCCTAAATTTGTATGTCAGTCTTTAAAGTATCTGAAGACAGTTACTATATCAACTCCATTCCCCCCCCACACACCTTCCCCCCACCCCCCCGCCTAGGGAAATTATCTTCACTTCTTTTTTTTAAAATTTTTTATTTAAATTCAGTTTAGTTAACATATACTGTATTATTAGTTTCAGGGGTAGAATTTAGTAATTTATCAGTTGCATATAACACCCACTGCTCATTACATCAAGTGCCCTTCTTAATGACCATTACCCAGTTATCCTATCCCCCCACCCACCACCCCTCCAGCAACCCTCATCATGTCGTTTTATGCCACTGATTCCTATCCTTTACCCATGCTCCACTACCTCCAGAATCCTCTTAAGAGAGTAGTTCACAGTACTCAAAGTTTCACATATAATCTGACCACTGGAGGGTAATGTAGGGAAGATCACCTTATGCTTATGTTTTTGTGGTAGATTTTTCAGTAGTGTGTTTACTCTCACATTATCATGTCAAATAAAATGTCTATTTATAAAGCTTTTTCATATGCTGTTATTGACTATTAAAAGTAAATGAACTTAATCTGATGTACATTCATCCATATAAATGTAAATGAGCTTCTATTATAATAAATTTATTTTTTTTAAAAAGACACAATATGTCAATGGTCTTGCTAATGTCTCAGTAGGTCATTATTTCAACATCTTCTCCTGCCTGCCCCCACCTCCACCCTCTGCAATACTTGCAAATAATTTTATCTTAGAGTTTTTAGTTTTTTTTTCTGATGTTAGTTGAATATAAAAGAGACTGATCACACTTTTACAGCTTTTGCAAGCTTTTGTGAATTTATGAGCAGCCCAAGTATGAATTAAGATAAACAGTTAAGTTAGTTACCTGTTCATAAAATTCATTGACAATACCCTCTGTCCACTGAAGATGGAGCTCTTTACACTTAGCTGGCCCATTGATATCAGCCAACTTTATACACATTTGGCAAACCAGTAGGCGATCATTTTCATTGGTCCAATCTATTCCAACATCATCATTCACCTGTTTGAGGGGTAAAGGTAAAGTGTGGTTTGCTTCAATTAAAGCAAGAGTTGGACAGAATAAACAACAAAATATTTATTATCTTCTTAACGGGTAGAATACCAAGAAATGAGGAACTTCTTAGTTATTTAAAATGCTACTGGCTTGCATAATAGTAAAATAGTTCATCAGAAAAATAAAATTTTAAATGATAAATTATTAATTATGGAACTGAAAATAAATGCTATTTAAAATTAGCATATATTACCACTGACCAGTAAATAAATATAACTACAAATGATAAGAAATTTTCTTAAGTTAACATTTGGGTATTTATGTTTGATGTATGAAATTTTGTTTCAGGGTTTTGAACTTTTCTACTTCCAGACAACTTATGTTAGTATACCACAGAGATGAGAGCAAATTAAATCAAACAAAAAAACCCAATGACAGTGAGAATTTTCTTTCTTTGCAGCACAAAGAATAATATATAGGTAGACAGCACCTCAACTTCTCAGATTTCTAGACTGGGAGCAATGCCATATATCTGCTTCTGGTTAAACATTTTACTGCATTTCATTTTCACAGTTGACGTATTAGAGGTGAGAGCAGTAAGTTTTGTTCCACACTTTGATTCCATGACATCTTTCAATATGGTCATAAAATGAAGACTGGTACAAATCTAGTTACCTTGGCATTAAATTTGGCTACGAAATCAAAGTGTTTCTTCAGGTCAGTGGCCAAAATTGCTTCAATGACAAGGAAACGAAAATGCTTAAATTCCACATGGTCAAGGTTAACTAAGAAGTTGTACTCTGGCCGGGACATGAAAAGATTCCATGCAGCAGCTGCGTGATGATTCTCCAAAACTGAACGATCATTATAGAGCACCGCCTAGGCAAATAAGGCAAAGACTGAAAGATTCAACTTTTAAATTAAAAAAAAAAATCATAAAAAATACACAAGAATAGGCAGAGCCTTCAGGATCCTCTTTTTTCACGGAACACAGAAACAATCTCGTGACTGCTGGTTATCAAGAATTCCATATTGTAATTACATTGACTATTGATTACTTTCCTTGGTTGAAATTTCCTTTTTTTGTAAGATGAAGTTCATTTCCTTGAAACTTTATTCTAAACTCTTGCAAATGAGGGGCTTAGAGTTAGCTTTTATCACATTTCTTTGCACAGAAATTTAATTATTTAAAAAAATCCAAGTAGGGGCACCTGGGTGGCTCAGTCAGTTGAGCACCTGCCTTCAGCTCAAGTTATGATCTCAGGATCCTGGGATCGAGCCCCACGTCGGGCTCCCTGCTTCTCCCTCCCTCCCTGCTTGTGCTCTCTCTCTCTCACTCCCTCTCTCAAATAAATAAATAAAATCTTAAAAAACAATCCAAATATACTAAAATTCCTAAGAGGTAAGTCAGTTACTTTCTGCATTTAGAATAAGAATTACTTTTTCTTTTTTTTAAAGATCTTATTTATTTATTTGACAGAGAGAGACACAGCGAGAGAGGGAACACAAGCAGGGGGAGTGGGAGAGGGAGAAGCAGGCGTCCTGCTGAGCAGGGAGCCCGATGTGGGGCTGGATCCCAGGACCCTGAGACCATGACCTGAGCCAAAGGCAGACGCTTAACCGACTGAGCCACCCAGGTGTCCCAAGAATTACCTTTTCTTAAGCACATATAACTAATAAATAGGAATGGACTCCCTGAGAGGCTTATAATTTAAAACATTCTCATCCCACAAGCAGCCATAGAAGATATCACCCTCCAACTAGTAACTAAAGGTGTATAATAAATATCTACTTGCTTGGAATTCTCTAATAATGCTGAGGGACACTACAAAAGAAGAGGAAGTTACCTAAACCTTGCTTGAAGACTAGAGTGGTAGATAGACAACACAGGGAAAAAAAGGCATAAGGATAAAAAGGAAAGCCAAACTACATGAAAATTTAAATTATACTAGTAAAAATGCATTCATGTCTAGGAAAATATGAATGATAAATGGTGCTGGCAAAAAGATTTGCCCATCTTTAGGAAAAATAATTCTGGTGTATGAAGGACACATTGAAATAAGTTTAAGTAGTGAGGGGAAAAAATATCAGGATAATTTTATTGTATATCGATTACAGGAAAATTCTAGTCTAGTCTTTAAGACAGGTGGAAATGGATGGGAGTTGGGTAAAAGACAAAAAGCAAACAAACATACAAAATAAGTATGAGAGCAGATTGGCTTCTAGATCCTCTAGAAAGAAAAAACAGGATCTCAGAATACTTACTAACATAGATCCAGCTAATTATTTTTTGTTTATTTTTTATTATGTTCAATTAGCCAGCATATAGTAAATCATTAGTTTTTGATGTAGTGTTCAATGATTCATTAGATCCAGCTAATTAAATCAAAGAGAAACTTACTGAGTTTAATTACATAGATGGAGATGCTAAGATACTCAGTAATTTTTTTTTTTTTAAGATTTTATTTATTTATTTGACACAGAGAGAGATGGCGAGAGCAGGAACACAAGCAGGGGGAGTGGGAGAGGGAGAAGCAGGCTTCCCGCCGAGCAGGGGGCCCAATGTGGGACTCGATCCCAGGACCCTGGGATCATGACCTGAGCCGAAGGCAGACGCTTAACGACTGAGCCACCCAGGCGCCCCTCAGTGATTAATTTTTAACCCAAATTTAAGTATATAAGAAAATGGACTTCTTTAAAGTTATTGTTTTGGGAATACTATGTTCAAGTAAAAAAAAAATTCTCTCAAATGAATGAAATAAATTGATATTTAAATCCTACTAACCAATAGAAATGTCAGAGGAATAAGGGTTGTTATAATAAATGTATTTCAAAGGAATGGGTTTTATGAACCAAGAAGACTTACATAATTAAAAGTCCAAGAAAGATCTGGTTCTCTAATCTTTTCAAAAAGGGACTTTTGTATAGGTTGGATTTTCTTTGTTGAGAAGGTTCATTACTACAGATTCAACTAGTTTTTCTTCTTAAGAAGAAAACTGAGAAGGGTTTCCCAAGGTTAATAAAGTTGCATGCCTGCCATTAATATCTTGGAACAAACATGATATCTTTTCAAAATTTGCTTGGTCTCTACAAATATCCTAGGGCTAAATATAGTTTGGCTCATATTCATTTGGTCCCTATTATAAATCAAAATTTATAAAATTAATTTCTTTTGGAAAAAATCTCTAAATCGAATTATTTCTTCGAATCCAAATTGAAAGATTTACCTGAGGAGCACTAGTTGCCACCAGGAAAGCGTTAGTCCTTCCTGGGTGATCATAATCATGCATGGCTGCAGCCACATACAATGCCATTAACTCTAAGGCAGGGATATTTCCAGATAGACATCCGTATTTATCATCAGGCACATTATACATTTTTGAGAAGACATATCCCATATGTCCATGTGTAAATCCACTGTCAGAATCTGAGAAGAGAAAATGAACGTATAGAAATTTTTAAAAAGTATTAAACTGATACTATTTTCTTGACCTCCTTTTTTAAAGAAATGCTTCCCCCACCCCCCGCCCCATAGTTAACAAGGGAGCATAGATGCACTTACTACGTACCTGAATCACTTGCGGATCCGTGATCATTAATCACAGTTGAGTGGCCCGGAATCGGTTGCGTAGTAAGGTACCACACAGCGTGTAACACATCAGTGGCGTGGATTCTGTTATGATCTGTAACCAATGCAAAGGAACATTCATTTGTGAACTTTGGGGTCCAAGGACTAAGAGTGCCATCTGCTGGGTAAACAGTTTAGTCTTAGCATTTTAATACCCCAGTGAAAGGCAGCCAAACATTCTAGGACAAATACTCTTTGATTACTCTTCCATGACTCCATAATATCCATAGTAACAAGGAAAAAAAAAAGCACACACAACATTTATTGTGCATGCAGATGTCTGAAGTGGACAAATCTGTGTCCAGAGTCTACCAGAAACCTAACATCTATAGAAAGCTCACTATGTGCAATCACTGCACTGTTTACCTTTATACTTATTTCCATGCTCCTGTATAAGATTATGCAGAGGACCAGAATAAAAGACCCATGACATACTTCAACTGGGTCAGACCAATGATCTATACCACCTAATATTTCATCTCTGATAAATAGCATGCAAATATAGTCTGTGAATAAAACAAAGTAGTATTCTTTTACATCAAACTTAAAACACTGGTAAAAATTAATAATATATCTTCTATATGTAGGTTAAATTCATAAAGCAAAATTGAAAACCACAATTAATGATGTTCTCTGATCTAAAAATTCTAATTTGGGAATACAGCTCTAGGAAATACCTGAAGAGAAAAATAAAAACTTCCTTGTACATTAACGTAGGGATTTGAGTCATTTAGAAGAGCAAAATCTATGGGAAAACCAAATCCTCTAGCTACAATGTCATTATCATGGGAAGGGGGTCTATTCTATATGTGCAGTTCGGCTTCTACTGAACCATGACCAAAGGCCTGATGTGTTCCTGGCTCACCTTTTTTTCTGGTGCAATTCTTCCAAGTTTTTCTCTTGTTTACTGGCCTTTTCATTGATTGCTATACACTATCTTAAGTATGCTAACTTTACATATTCTATTTCCAATGACCAACCATAATACAGTCTCTTCCAGTATAGTAGATCACATCTCTGAATAATACTCAACAGATAAAGAGAAAACAGAAAAGAACAGTAAGAATGGTAATGGGAACAGGAGAAATCATCTGGTCCCTGGTCAGGGAAGAAAGAAAAAATTTTTTTCTTTTAAAGATTTTATTTATTTATTTGAGAGAGAGAGACGGCACTCACAGGAGCCTGAGTTGGGGGAGGGGCAGAGGGAGAGGGAGAAGCAGGTTCCCCGCTGAGCAGGGAGCCCGACGTGGGACTGGATCCCAGGACCCCAGAATCATGGCCTGAGCAGAAGGCAGACACTTAACCGACTGAGCCACCAAGATGCCCCAGAAAAAACTAACATTTTTGGTGTGGGTGGCACACACGGGGAATGTGGGTACATGGTGCCTATTTCCCTACATTCCTGGCAACTCTTAAGAGTCAGTCTTTAAGTGATGACATGTAGCTAAATCTTATGTAAACACCCAGCATTTCAGTAGAGGGGCCTTGTAAAGACTTGAGAGGATGTGTTTAGAACAGACATCCAAGGTTCCAAAGGAGGAAAGAGGAAACCCTGTGCCCTGTGTCATTGCCAGAGGGGAATACTGATATTATCTAGCCATCCGAAGAACAATTTCATTGAAATTGAAGTCTATATCTCTGTGTATAGACTATCTCAAGTCATCTAAGACCAAACATTTTAGATCTATAACCTGTGCCATGTACGAAACTGGTCACGCTAAAAGTGTCTGGATTTAGGAGAGATCTGAATTTGTCTCTGTTCTGTATTTATTACCTGTGTGAGCTTGAGTGAGTTGCTCACAACTCTACGTCTCATCTCCTAATCTTAAAAATATAGACATATTAAATAATAGTGACTTATTTCACAGTACAATTGTGAGAATTACAGAAGAAAACATATTTTTAAGTTCCTGACACATAGTAAGCTTGCAATTAATGTAAATATAATTCACATAAAATGCATGATTGCTGGGGCGCCTGGGTGGCTCAGTCAGTTAAGCATCTGCCTTTCGGCTCAGGTCATGATCCTGGAGTCCTGGGATCCAGCTCCTGTAGGGCTCCCTGCTCAGCGGGGAGCCTGCTTCTCCCTCTCTCTCTGCCCCTCCCTCCCTTTCATGCTGTGAGTGCTCTCCTTCTCTCTCTCAAATAAATAAATAAAATCTTAAAAAAAAATACATGATTGCTCTTGGAACTAGATGGTGAGTTAGCACAGATCACTAGTCTTCTTCCAAAATCAATGTTGGATTTGTTAAGAATTGAAGAGCTAAAATAAAAGATATGCTAAACTCTTGGGGGAGGGAGAAGGCAGTGATGACCTGTTAGAGAAGAAAATGCCCCGCTGCCACTGTTAGGGGATAGGCTGGGAGAGAGCTTCTGAGTTGAGGTCTTTTCTTCTCCTTTGCTGCAGGCTGGGAAAATCACTGTGGGCAAGTAATTATCATTACTCTTGCAAGTCACAGAACCCTGTGCATGTGCCCAGCATTGCAAGCGTGGATGGGGCAGTATCAGGGTGCTGGTGGAGCCTGTGTGGAGTGACAGACAACATCAAGAATAGACAAACTTGCAGCTCTGGAGCTTACTGCTCTTTGTCCTATTCCCCACCCTAAGGCCAAGGGCCAGAAGGCTTTATAGGTAATTTTTGTAAGCTTTCAATAAACAAATAATCTTATTTAAATAATCTAGTCCTGAAAATATAAAAAGGAGGGAAGCTACCCAACTCATTTTATGAGGCTAGTATAATCTTGATTAAAAAATTAGGAAAAGAAGGTATATGAAAAAAAAAAGTAGCCCTTTTGCTTTTGAGTATGGGTTCAAAAATACTTAAATAATAGCTAACCAAACCTAATTCCTTAAAAAAAAGAAATCTCCAGTTATGCATGTGTAGATCCAGAAAAAAAACACTGTCACTGTCATTGAAGCAGGATGGAAAATCATCCACCTAATAAGCAGTCAATAACATGTTTATTACACAAATATTTACTTAGCATGTACTATGGGCAAGTATTGTACCAAGTGCTGGAACTGCTGTTGTTCTCACCATTAACTTTCTGGAGACCCACTCAGGAGCAAAGGCACCCAGGAAATAAGCTCACTAGATCAACACAGGGGATTCTGTAGGTTTCTGTAGGACACATAAACATGCTTAAAAATTCCTCTTCTTACAGCCATGGTAGGCAACTGAGAGGGAGAAGGAATGGTATCAGAGCTCTTCTTCTTATTATCATCCCTCTTCTTCCACCGCTGCATTTTGGACAAACCCCTGACTCTCTTGATAGTTCCCTTGCCCATCCAGCAAGCCCCTCTGCCCCCTGACAACATGGAAACACGTATGCACACACCAAACACAACATGCCCTATCTCATTCCCACAGTCTGCCCAGCTCCCTCTTCTGTCTTGACACACTTGTTTTCTCAACTTTCTCCTTATCCCTCAAGCGCCAAGTTGAAGTGAGCTGGCACGGAGGGTTGGAGTTATATGTAAAATGCATAGAGTTTTAGACCTATAGATTTTCAATTGAAAATTCCACCTAGGCTCCTTTGGGAAGGTGTTAAAGAAGAGAAGTGACAATTTAAACATTTTTTCCCTTTGGATTATAGCAAATACTGTCATAATTCTGCCTTTCTAGCTTGTCCCATGCCACCTCAGTATCTAGCTTTAAAACTGGTGGGCACATGACATACAGATTGAGCAAGATTATTCTCATTGCTGCCATTCTACCCATTTCTCCAACTTCAATAACCAGAATGAGAGGAGGTGTTAGGAAGAATATATTTTAGAGATGAAAGTCTCTGAACACAGAAAAAGCACCCTCAAAACTAACTTTGAATTCATGAATGAATAGGACCTGATGATTTATCTTCTTTACTTGACAATATGCCCAGTTGAAAGGGACTGTGAACAATAATGAACATTATTTATTTCTCTGTGCAACTGAGTATCAACTATATCTTAATTTATCCTTATCTTTATTTATTTTTTTAAAGATTTTTTATTTATTTATTTGAGAGAGAGGGAGAGAGAGAGAGAGAGCAAATGAGAGGGGGGAGGGTCAGAGGGAGAAGCAGACTCCCTGCTGAGTAGGCAGCCCAATGTGGGACTCGAGCCCAGGACTCCAGGATCATGACCTGAGCCGAAGGCAGTCGCTCAACCAACTGAGCCACCCAGGTGCCCCTATCCTTACCTTTATTGAACAAATATATATTCGGTATCATATTTCTATCAGTGAGTTGCCTATATTTATACCTTGTCCACTGCTACTCCATGAAATATCTAACTACCTACCTGTGTCTATTTTTAAATCTAGATTTCTCAAATTTTAGTAAGGGCTCTGGGTACAAATTAAAAGTCTTCATCTCTTAAAAATTGTTAAAAGTGTGCTTAGAAGTATAATAAAATTTAGTTTCTAGTATTGTAGGTCATCGTCATAGTAACATTAATCTAATCCCATTTTAGTTACTCTCAGGCTTTTTCATTTAGGTATGGGTTTATTTAGATAGAGCGATGAGAAATATCCTCTAGGAGTAGATATTAAAGTAAGGAGACATATAACAAATTTTTGTGTATGATAATTAAAATTAATGATAAGCAAAGCTTTTAATAAATATCTATATTAGTCTAAATTTACAACACTACCACATGCAAGGAATTACTATTTAAAAGGGATCACCAGTCAAGCTAAAACTTCTCTGTGAGATGTAAATGAATTCCCTTTACGGAAAATGTTTGGGGTTCCTAATAGAACAACCAGGTTTATTATAACAAATTCTTTTCACATGGAATGAAGAAGCCACTATTTCAGAAAAAAGAAACATCTATTCAGTTGTAAAATAAGAAAATATAAAAATGAATAATAAAATTTAGAATCTGGAAACTTCTTTTTATGCTTAAATATTGATCAACTTTCCCTATGATTTTATGACATACTGCTTAGAGAGAAGTTAGTAGTTATATCAATTGGTACTTAATGGACTTGGCTATAGCAGATTAGGTCACTAGAATACATTTGGAAATATAACAATTTGTAAATTAATCTGATGACTAGCTGTTGAAAAATCAGTAACACTTACGTCAATCACTGGCATCCAACCAGGGTGTGCCCTGGGAAAATGGTATTAAGAAAGCAAGGCTTATCTTGAGATTCTTTCAAACTATCCCTTTTTTGTCTCTCTCTCTCTCTCTATTTCCATGGCCCTACCGGCCAGACTTTCCCAAGGGGCCCAGGGCTCTTAAGCTCCTCTCTCCTTTATACCCACTGTCTTGTCTTGTCTGCATTTTGGTCCCATATTCTCCAACAAATCTCATTTGTAGATCCAATTCTTCATTATCTTCTCCTATCACACACCACCAGCTGTGTATTTTCATTCCAATGTAGCATGTGGTTGGCATTTTGAAAAACAATATGTTAATAACGGATCACTAGTTTAATGTACTATCCCTTTCTGGAAATACCTGTACTTTATCTGTCTCCGTAGACTATTTATTTAGCTTCAGTTGTTTGCAACTAGGAAAAGTCATGGGGTTCTGAAGTCTAAGGTGTATAAAAGCAATTTTAAAACTTAAGTTAAAACATGATTTGAACGACGCATTTCTAAGGCATGCTTCAACCAATGTATGATGTCTACTCTTGCTATGCATTTATTTTCTAAAGGTACCACATGATTTCTGCACATTGTCACAACTTCCCTGACTGGGTTTTTGGACATTTTCTTCAGTTCCATGTATTTTGTAGCATGTAGGCTGATTCTACTCACATGTTCAGATGATACTGGAAATGCTCCAAATTGAAAATTTAACATCTCCTCTCTGTTCCAATTTTGCATATTTTAAGTTCATAAACTTGAACACTTGGTTGTGTCCCTTCCTTTGGTCTTCACATTTACCTGATTTTTCAAATGTTTCTAATAATTTCTTCACAAACTTTTAGGTGTCTCTTTTTTTCTATTTTATTAATTAGACCATCACCCTCCTGTCCCTCCACCCCCAGCGAGGTCTTTCTTATACTGAAAAAAACTTCAAGAGTTCATGATTTAACTCTCCAGATGTGAGAACAAAAGTTGAACTCACCCAGTAAAAGGAGTGTATAATAAAATAAGCAATAAATTTAACATTTATTTTATGTTAATAAAATATAAATATAAATTTAACATTTATTAAATTTAACATTTATTATTTATGGAGCACACACTTAAACTGGCTTACTATGTGAAGGCACTATTATAACCCTTTTAGATTTATTACCTCATTTTATCTTCCTAACAATCCTACAAAGCTATTACAATCCTCAAAGACATTATGATCCCCATTTTACAGATTAAGAAATGAGGCATGCAGAGGCAACAGCTGAGAAGTGAAGGGACCAGGACTCTGAAACAGGCTGTAATCTCCAGGTTTACCATGTGTAGTTCTCTGCTAGTCACCAATGATTCAATATCCCATTACCCAGAGCAAATTCAGTGGATTTGAAAAGTATTATTTTTAACTCATACTTACAAGGAATTTCCCTGTATCCAATCTCCAAAGCATGAAAATAATTCATAAATTCCCTAACTGGAATTTTGAAAGCTTCAAAGAGGCCCATGTCTTCAAAAAGTCTGTATGATACCTATAAGGAGAAAGACAAAGTTTTACAAAACATCCCTGGGTTTGTATTAGACACAAAAAGAAAAAAAAAAAATTAAAACAAGTAACTCCTGGCCAGTAGAGACACTTATTGGGAACAATAAGTCAAGTAAGTATTGAAGAACTCTATGGGTCTAGCCCCTGTAGCCCCTGACCACAAGGGGTATTTGATCTGTTTTTAAAGGCGTGGACATTCAACCAAGAAAACCAACCAACCCAAACAACAGTATACACTACAGAAACATATCAAGGTACTCAACTGTATGTGCTATCATCTGCTAGAGAATCCTACTTATCAAATAGTTCATTGTATAGTGAATACTACAAGCACTAATAAATGAGGTAAAGCTTTAATTTGGACTAATTTTTATTAAAAAAAAAAAAAAAAAAGCTTCCCAGAGGATAAAGGATTCAGAATGGTTAACTTAGTGAAGGATAAGGGGAAAGAATTATGAGAGAGAGAAAAACGGTTACTTTGACTAAATATATAGAGAAAACTGATTTATTCTAATGCAGTATAAATAACAACATCTAAATTTTTTTCCTTGCTCGTCTTTCTCCTCCAAATATCTATTCTTCTTCCAATTGCATTCAAAGCTCTGGCAACCCAAATCCAGTGAATACCTATGCATGTAATCGGCATATCTGACATGCAATGATGGAGAAAAAACTGATAAAGGCACAGAAGAAGGTACTGGGGAGAGGAATGGTTATTCACATGGCAGAAGGGAGTGTGGCACCATTTCAAGTGGCCTTACTTCATGTCACAAAGGCACAGTGTTGTTATAACTCAGGAGACTTTAAGAATTATTCATCATTTTTATTATCTGCATCTCTTCTTAAAGTTGTCTTGAAATCTTCCCTCTCCATCTTTGGTATGCGGTTTCATAGCTAAGTTTCTACCTTTTGTTATTGACTTTAAATCTGTTTAAAATCAATAATATTCTTTTAATTATGTACTTAGTGTTTATCATATATATCTATATGTATACATAGGCATATATACATATATAGAGAGAATGATAATGGAATTTCAATTTAAAATGAAACCGAAGGATATAAAACAAAAAAATCTCACACATATGTCCTTGGAAAAACAAAGCTCAAGGACAAAGAGACTGATTTCCCGTAAATGACTGACTTTTTAGAAAAGTGATAACACTGGAATTTTCTTAAATGATAGGGAGTTGATCAGGAGTTGCCTCATATCAACCTTGGGAAGATGTACTTATGGTTTCCAGAAGCATGAACACGGAACGATCCAGATTGGGCTGGTCTCCCAAAATAAGTTGACTTGAGCTTTGTTTGTATGACTGACTGCACTAGTTTTGTCTGCTTGGAGAATTTCAAACCTGGTCTCCATTTGCTTCTGATTTTAACAGACTCTAACTGAACTATCCCCTCTTTACATTCCCTGCCCGTAAATACAGCCTACCCCAAACCCTCAAAAGACTCACTGTAGCTTGCTATAGTTTGCACATCCTAAATTGCAGTTCCCCTGCTATTCCTGAATAAACTCATCTTTTTGACAATTTTGAGCTTGCCTCAGTTTACCTCTTTAGGCTGACAGAACTAAAAAGGAGAGTTATTCATTCAGCATACATCTACTGAGTGCCTACCATGTTCCAGATACTCTTCTGTGTATGAGGCATATATCCAGGTGAACAAAACAAAGACCTCTTCCTTCAGGGAGCTTATAGTTTAGCAGGGGAGGGCAGTAAATAACAGATACAATAAGTAAGGTATATACTATGAGAGAAGGTAGTAAGTAATATAGAAAAAGAAAAAAGGAAACAAGGGTGAGAGATTGGGAATATACGGAAGTTACAGAATTTGCTTTTTTTAAAGTATGGTGGTTAGAGTAGGTATATCCAGGTGACATATGAGCAAAGAACTGAAGGAGATGTAGACTGAGGTATATGGATATCTGAGAAAAGAGTTTTCCATACAGAGAAAAAGGACTGTGCAAAGGCCCTGAGGTATGCCTGCTGTACTTAAGAAACAGCAAGAAGGCCAGTGTGGCTAAAACAGAATGAATGAGAACAGTAGAATTTAAGTTAGTAATGGCAGAGTGGGATGGGGGGGTGGTGCAATCTTGGGGTTTGACAGCCAGACTGATCATTAGAAGGCTTTTACTCTAAGTGAGGTAGGGAGCCACTGAAGAGATTAGAGCAGGGAAGTGACTTTATCTGACTTACTTTTTTTTTTTTTTAAGATTTTATTTATTTATTTGAAAGAGAGAGAAACAGAAAGGGAGCCTGAGTGGGGAGAGGGGCAGAGGAAGAGGGAGAAGCAGACGCCCTGCAGAGCATGGAGTCCAACACAGGGCTCCATCGCTGGACCTCGGGATCATGACCTGAGCCAAAGTCAGATGCTTAACCTACTGCGCCAGCCAGACGCCCCTATTTAATTTATGTTTTAAAAGGATCGCCAAAGCTGCTAGGTTGGAAACAGATTATATACTATGTACATCAACTTCTGTATGCTTTTCTTCATTCTGAATGGCAAGAACATTTAAGTTTTACCCTTTTTGTGTGTAACATACCATTCCCACATCTTCTCTTTAAAAATGCAACAGGGGTGCCTGGGGCAGTTGGTTAAGCATCTGACTCTTGATTTTGGCCAGGTAATGATCTCTGGGTTGTGAGACCAAGCCCAACATTGGGCTCATGCCAGGCATGGAGGCTGCTTACGATTCTCTTTCCCTCTCCCTCTCTCCCTCCTCCACAACTCCCCACCCCCACCTCCCCCTTTCCCGCTCACTCTCTCAAAAAAAAAAAAAAAGGCAATAGAAAGTGAAGTTTATGGTTTCTGTAATATTTCAAGCTAGTTTTTTGGGGGGGTATCTCCTCTTTACTACTGCTTTGGTCTATATTTGAATTCTTGTTTATAAATACCTAATGGATTTAATTATGCTTGTTACTTCAGTGACTTGTCCAAAACATGGCTGACAACATTATCAGAACCAGAATTCAAGCCAAGCCTGTTGGCTTCAGATTTTGTACTCTAAATTGCTTCAAATCCTACCACTAGTATCTGAAAAGCAATGTTGTTAGGATTGCAAACAGCTAAAGTTTCCTACTATTCTCTTAAACATATGAAAGATGAATGGAAAAATTAAGACAACAGGATATTTTCAAGTATGATTTTAAAATAGGAGAATTTTCATCAACATGCTGTTAAAAACCAACCACCAATAATTTAAACTGACAAATAAAGATACCATTAACCAGGTAAATATTGGCAACCGGAAAAAGTAAGCACTATTCTGAAATCTGAACCATGTCCTTTGAAATTTGTTAAAATAAACATGATAATCATCAAAAAGGCAGTCAGTATATTGAGACTGAAAAGTCATTTCCATTGCACATATGTCTCTTTAAAAATCTTTTGAAGTGAGACTTTTTCTGTGTAGTTTCAGCCAAAAGGTGATTTCTCGGAATGTTCAAGTTAATTCATTTCAGCTGTCCCAAAGTCTTACTAAGGTGAAAAAAATATGCCTTTCACACAGTGAAAATATCATGACTTTGTGCTTATAAACTCAAATCAAAGAGAAAACCCATAAAGTTCTACTCAGCAAGACAAATAAAAGTTCATTTTCTCAAAGTTCAATGTTTTGTAAGTTGGAAAGATAAATAGTGACATACTAAGGCTCATGTATTTCTTTTTTGGAAGGTGACTGGAAGAAAAACACATTAGTGAATTTTACTGCAATCTAATTGTTCATTATATCTAATCTTTCTGTTGTGTACTCATATCCAGGACTCTTAGAAAACATTCTGTGGCACAGCTGGTCAAGTTTCACAAGCCCAGCCCCAGCTCTCAGAACTTCCAGAGGAGACAGGTAGGGAGGAATGGTATTTGCTACACTGTCCTTTCAGCTTAAAACCTGACTGCTACACTAACCACTTCTCCACGGGCTCAAGCTCTCTGTTCAGAGTGTTTGAAGACAGAATCAGTGGATGTGTTTTTTTTTGGCGGGGGAAGGAGGAGGGGCGCGCTCAGAAACAGCCGAAGGTAAATGAAGGCCAAAAGTATGGATTTCCAATATGGCTATGCCTGCATTCAAATCATGGGTCTGATATTTACTCTATGACTTTAGATGAATGGTATATGCTCTTTTAAGCCTCAATTTCCTCTTCTGAAAAGCAGAGATTATACAGACTATCTGCAACAGAGCTACAGAGAAGATCAAGTTGTAGGGTTTGGGGGAGTCTGTGACATACGATCAGATATAAAGTAATGTAAAGTTGGGGTGCCTGAGTGGCTCAGTTGTTAAGCGTCTGTCTTCGGCTCAGGTCATGATCCCAGGGTCCTGGGATCGAGCCCCGCATCGGGCTCCCTGCTCAGCGGGAAGCCTGCTTCTCCCTCTCCCCCTCCCCCTGCTTGTGTTCCCTCTCTTGCTGTGTCTCTCTCTGTCAAATAAATAAAATCTTTAAAAATAAATAAATAAATAAAAATAAAAAAAATAAAACAATGTAAAATTTTTCTCTTCCTATGAACCACACTCAGCAGTGAAGGAGAAAGAAGGCTTCCCGGCCCTCTGCCACCACTTTTTGGGGTACCATTAAGGAATATTTCCAGGTAAAATTACTCCCTCAGAGACACAGTCTGTAAGGGGCTTCAGAAAGTGAGATACAAAACCTTGCAGGAGGAGCCCTGAGGTATGAGGCTAAGGTGGACTGGATAAAAATAGCTGTCCTTACACCTGTCTTCAAGATCACCTCGGGGCCCTGGGTGGCACAGTCGGTTAAAGTGTCCAACTCTTTGTGGTGGCTCAGGTTCTAATCTCAAGGTTGAGAGACCGAGCCCCACATCCAGCTCTGTGCTCAGCGTAGACTCTGCTTGAGTTTCTCTCTCCCGCTCCCTCTGCCCCTGCCCCCCACCCCCATGCTCACTCACCCTCTCTAAAATAAGTAAGTCTTTTAAAAAAAATATTTAATAAGATCACCTAGCATAAAAGATGTTGCTTAGCACCAAGGAGAAGAAGAAAGAAGAAAAATGGGATTGTTAACTCCTAGTAAAAGTGCAAGGGCTGTCACCCCAGTTCTCGAGGTGTTCATGGTCAGAAGAGAGTCTAGCAGAGGCAACTACGTGTTACACAGACTTTGTAATTATTTTGAGCTTCATAATCCATCAGTCATTTTAGCAAACTTCTTTTGTAGGTAGCAAGTTGAACTGTCATTATTTTGAGCCATATCTAATTTCCCTACTCGCCCCTTTAAGGCAGAGGGACATTCTTTCCTTCTTGAAGACTAGACTAGTACTTTGTGTTTGTACAACTGAGAAACAGAGGAAAAGGCCCCTCTATCTTCTTGCTTCAGACCTTCATGGATCAGGAATCCTCACCTTGAACCCTACATTCAGATACTTGTTGAGACGTCTGAAGAAAGCCCGTCGCTGATGCACGGAGTAGAAATCAGTATAACATATCATTTCTCTTCTAGTGTTTCCCAGATAAGTGTTAGTGGCTCCAGTAAATCTGGGTCTTGAATTCTCACCTAAGTCTTATGTTAGCTTGGTGGTCTTTAGCATCTCTACAGTGCTATTCCATCAATGAAAACACCCCTGAAACATTTTTATTTTTATTTATTTATTTATTTTTAAAGATTTTATTTATTTATTTGAGAGAGAGAATGAGATAGAGAGAGCATGAGGGGGGGAGGGTCAGAGGGAGAAGCAGACTCCCTGCCGAGCAGGGAGCCCGATGCGGGACTCGATCCCGGGACTCCAGGATCATGACCTGAGCCGAAGGCAGTCGCTTAACCAACTGAGCCACCCAGGCGCCCTGAAACATTTTTAAATAAGCTGATAAATATTACTGCATTATCCCCCTTGAGTGTGTATTCTGATAGGTGTTTGATAATAGAGCAAATACATTTTTGGATTTGTAGAGCAATTTTGTATTGAGAATAATATGTTCAAAAATCTTAATTTCTGTGCTTTCTTTCTCCCTCAGGGAAACATTTTCTTTTAAGTGTGGGAAGCCTTGAAAGTAGTCTAGCTTAAGGAAAAAAAATAAAGTCTTATTAAGTAGCAATAGTTCATATTCTGTATTTCTTGTGATACATAAAGGTATTTTCTGCATTAAAACACAGAGAATTCTATTTGATATGTTTCTCACGGCAATGGAAGGAAATGTATTTCTGCACAATATCTTACTTTTGATAAGACCTAAGCGCCATGATATTCAAAAGTTTTAAAGGGGCCTGGGTGGCTCAGCTGGTTAAGTGTCTGACTCTTGATTTTGGCTCAGGTCATGATCTCAGGGTCATGAGATGGAGCTCCACGCCAGGCTCTGAGCTGGTTGTGTAGCCTGCCTAAAATTCTCTGCCTCTCCCACTAGCACCCCCACCCCAAAAAAAAGCTTTAAAAAAGAGTCATTGGAAAAAATTACAAACAATAAATTACTGTTAATAATTAGGCAACTTTCTTCCTTTGAGGGCTTATATCAGCTTTTCTTTTGCTGAATTCTATAAATTTCAGATGTATTTCTCCATCTTGCTTGTGTATCCCTGTTCTCTTCCACTTTATCTTTAAAACTACATATTTTAATTGATCAGTATTCCACTCACTTCAAGGTCCTATTTCTTTTGTTAACCCACCACCACGGAATCTACAGAATGTTGGGTACTAACATTTCCTTTCTCCACCCAGTGCCTACCACCAGTGTCAAGCACGGACACAGCTTTAACCAACCAAGGAATTTTTTTTTGCTACATTTAAAGTCATATGTATGGGGGCGCCTGGGTGGCTCAGTTGTTAAGCATCTGCCTTCGGCTCAGGTCATGATTCCCGGGTCCTGGGATTCAGCCCCACATAGGGCTCCTGGCTCAGCGGGGAGCCTGCTTCTCCTTCTCCCTCTGCCTCTCTCCCTGCTCATGCTCTCTCTTTCTATATCTCTGTGTCTCAAATGAATAAATAAAATCTTAAAAAAAAAAAAAAAGTCTTACGTATGAATGCATTTCTTACCTGACTAAGGATACGGCCACATTTTCTTCCTATTTTTTCCACCAAATCAAAAATTGGAAAATTCCAAGTATTTAGCTGCTCCATAATTGAGTCCAAGTTATCCATGACAAGAGGTTCAGGAGCAAGAATTGGCTTGTCCTATAATGAAGATGAAAATATTTTAAGAATACGCAGTTTTTCTACAAAGCAATTTGTGCTTTGGTAAGTTCAGCTCAACAACTGAGTTTATAAAAATAAATGACTTAAAACTTCAAGGTAAATGAGTGATCTTAAAAAAAAATCAGGATGAATAAGACATTGATCTACACGTTAGGAGAAAAGGTCCTAATGCTATTTCATATCATGAATTTTGCATATTAGGTGCCTGTCTATTTTTGGTTCATATATGCTACAGAAAAAAAATGGATGTTTCTTTTATAAGTTAATGTAACTGCTTTTCCCCTGTTGTGAGGTTCTTAAATAAAGATTCAAAGACTTCAGAACACATTGAAATCATATGTAAATTTATCTCTTTATATGTTTATGTAAATTTTTCTGGGAGGGTTCCTGGCTTATATTGGACTCTCAAAAGAAACCCATGAGTGGGGAGGAGTTAATCACTCCCTACTCTACTTGGCCAAATATATATTATTGCTTCAAAATCAGCATTGATCCTATGGGATGATAATTGCCACATTTTTCATAGATTTTAATTTAGTTCATGTGATGTATGGTTTCCAAAGAAACATGCACCATGTTAATGTAAAGACATTTTATAATTGGTCCCAAATGAGGACATTCTTAAGAGTATCTTTACCAAAAAAATGAATAAAAAATAAAGATAATGAGGACTAGGAAACATAAATTACTTTATCTGGAAATCTCTTTAAAAGTATAAATGGTAAATCAGATAAAAATGATACTAGCAGCAATTGAGAATTACATGATAGCCAACTATTTTTTAAATTATTTTTTTATTATTATGTTCAATTAGCTAGCATATAATACATCATTAGTTTTTGATGTAGTGTTTCTATTTGCTGACTCCCTGAAATTAACCTGACTCAAATACATGCTTTTATCCTCTTTAAACGGATCTCTATAAGCTCACAAAGTCCTCATTAAAGGCTATTTTAACGGGTAGTATGTCAGTATAAACCTAGTTTAATATAATAAGGAAAATAAATATTGGCACACTTTCTAAATGAAAGAGGTGCTAGAGAAAAAAGAAAAAAAACAGCAGAAGCCCTAAGACAACTAACATATTTTATTTTTATTGATATTTATAAAATATTGCTTCACTGAATGAAATAATTTTCCCTATGCATACCTACACTTTTAGATTCTAGGATTAAGAAGTATCTGTAATCACTTATGGAGATGAATACTTGCATTCTTAATCACTAAATCAGAGAATCATGAAGAGATCAATAAAACTTGGATAAGGAAAAATTATACTGATACATAGGGATATGGCTATAAGGCATGTGTGATCCAAGAGAGACACATCTGTAAATCTAATGATTCAGGGATCTATTTGTAAGTCAATTTCTGTCACAGAGGGCAATTTCTCAAGTAAAGGAATGAGCGAAGTGATATGGAGCTACCAGGAATATCATGGCCTCAGGCGTGTAGGGGCCACAACCAGAAGCTTTCCTTAGAGGCTCCCTCAGGCACTCAGTCTCATCTTCGTTCTGTACAATATCACTGCTATCACTGTTGTTGTTGGTTTCATAATCAGAGGTAACTTGAGTAGTGTCATCTGCAATGGAAAGAGAACAGATGATGAAACTTGCAAATGGAAACAGGGGTCTCAGTTGAGTGAATATTCCTAAAATGCATATGGCATATACCGTGCTTAGGGACATACTGCTTTCATGAGCTTACACATCAAGAATGCAAGATCATAAAATGGGAAAAAAATACTTTTTTTTAAGATTTTTTTTACTTATTTGAGAGAGAGAGAACAAGCAGGGAGAGGGACACAGGGAAAGGGAGAAGCAGGTTCCCTGCTCCCCTGATCGACATGGGGCTTGATCCAGGAACTCCGTGATCATGACCTTAGCCGAAGGCAGATGCTCAACTGACTGAGCTACCCAGGCACCCAGAAAAAGTAGACATTTTTTCACCCAATGAAATAGATAGGATTATGATCTGTGATTTATATGACATTCAATAATTCCTCAGTAATAATGCTTAGATCAGCAGCAGTTTATACTTTTTAAAAACCCTGTAACTTTGTATTTCTTCTTCCTTTATGCATCTCCCAACACACTAAACCACTGAGTAGCTAAGTCAAGAATGGGCACATGGGGAGGAGAAGTTGAGCTGACACCCAAGGACTAAGTGGTCTGTAGGACATGGCATAATAGCATGTGCTTAAGGGCCTGGGGGATCTCACGTATCCAATCTTGATCCCTCGGAATCTGTGGCTTGCTTTCTTACCTGCCTCTTCCATCGTCTCCCATTTCAGTCAGCACTAAACCATGCGAACTAAAGGCCCAATCAAGCACTATCAAGTGTCTGTAGAACATGCTTCTGGAGCAAAGACCTCAAAAGAAGCTTCTCATGGCTGAGTAAGGGCCTGAATAGTTTACCAAGTGAGTGCCATGTGTTGGATGGCACAAAAGTGCTTCATTTGAGCAAACCTATTTAAACCTACACAATCCTACAAGGCAGGTATTATTGCACATCACTGCATTACTCATGTCCTCACATGCAGAAAGGAAACTGGTGCACAGAAAGGATAAGTAAATTGTTGAAATTTTGCCACATGAATTTGAATTCATGAAATCTGATCCTAGTTCCTATATTCTTTACTGTTGATAAAGTCTAGCTTTTTTTTTTCCCCCTGTATGGTTATTGCTAAGATTCCTATGCAATCTTTGCCTTCCCCTAAGTCATAAACCTATCTTCTTTCAGAAGCCTACTGTTTTAGCTTTTACATTTAGGTCTATGCTACATCACAGAATGATGTTTCATACAGTGTGGAGTAAGGGGTGAGATTCATTTTTTCCAACCCTACTGGAGTTGAAAATTCAGAGTAGAGGTGGGTCTAATTTGGGGCTTTCCATTCTATTCCATTGGTCTATCTGCTGATCCTCAAGCCTGCACCACACTATCTTGATTACTGCAGTTTAACTCTTAAAGTCAGGTAATGTCTTTCCTCTAACTTTGTTCTCCTTTCTCAGTTGCTTTGGATGTTCTATGACTGTTGTATGTCCTCATACATTGAGTATCTAATTTTTCTTAAGTTGCTAGTGAATAATGGCTTTTGTTATGTAGCCTATTGCCATCAGGAGTATCTTGTAGGACTTTTCCAAGGACTCCTCTTTCTTCGATCTTTCTCATGCAATCTTTCTCATGTAAGAATTAGACACAGTATGAAAATGTAATTGACAAGTTTCAAACCCAGAATTTGTAGGAAAAAATGAAGAACACTCAAAGGTCATAGCTCTATGTGAGGCCACAATGGTGATAAAGAAATACTCCCCATATTGTATCAGACTCAGTAGAGTCAAAGAAGATCAGGAACATAAAGAATGGAATATTCTGAGTCTTCAGAATGCTAAAATATCAGAGAGAATTCTCCTTTTGATTTTTCCTTGCCTATGTCTCTTGACCTTTGTACATTGCCACAGCACACCATTCTCATAGGCAAATAATCAATATTTATTGAGTATGTATCAATAAATGCTGAAGTAGATAATTAAGAATCATTCTTACATAGTGTTATCACTCTAAAGTCTGTAGTTCAGAGAAGCCAGGGTTTTTCTACCTTGTGAACTTTCAGCACTAACAAAATGAAGTCCCTAGAGTTGCATCAATAAAAATAAAATACTAATTATCATAGTAATAGCAGCAAACATGAACTATTGACAGTGACCCAGATACTAGAAGTGCTTTATGTGATTTTTAAAAATTGAAGTATAGTTGACATACATTAGTTTCAGGTGTACAACATAGTGATTCAACAATTATATATATTATGCAATGTTTCCCATAAGGGTAGTTAACATACAAAGTTATTACAATATTATTGACTATATTCCCTATGCTCTTCCTTTCATCCCCATGACCTATTTATTTTATAACTGTAAGCCTGTCCCTTTTAATTCCCTTCACCTATTTTGCCCATTCTCTTCCTCCCCTCCCTTCTGGCAACTGCCTTTGTTACAAGTTGTTTCTGTTTATTTCTTTAGCCTTCACATATAAATGAAATCACAGGGTATTCTTCTATCTCTGTCTGACTTATATCACTCAGCATAATACCCTCTAGGTCCAACCATGTTGTCGCAAATGGCAAGATCTCATTCTTTTTGATGTCTGAGTAGTATTCCATTGTGTATTAGGCGTCTTCCAAATCTTGGGTCTAGTAAATAATGCTGCCGTAAACATAGAAGTGCATCTCTCTTTCCGAATTAGTGTTTTTGTTACATGTTTTAAGTCATTTAATTCTTACAACAATCCTGTTTGGGAGGTACTATTATTATCCCCATCTACAAATGCAGGAACAGAGGCACAGAGATTACAGATTAGTAGGTAGCCCGATAAGGATAAAACCAGGCTCAAACACCTGTGTTCTTAACCTCTCCATTATAGTGCCTCAAGAAAAAACATTTTTATATGCTTATAGTGATCTAAGCAGGGTATTTTCTCAGTCTGCAAGGGAGACCTTCAGCGAGTATCCCAAAATGGATGACCCTCCAGTGTCCAAGATAAAGTGACATTTCTATATAGTTTTATATATTATATAAAATGACATCTAATTTAAAAATACATATGTATTTGCGTATAGGTATTTAAAACCATTTTGGACAGCTTTGCATCAAAATCGTACCCATGGTGAAGTCTTAGGTAGTAGGATTAGGGATGACTTTACTTTCCTTCATTGTCTTTTTACATTTGTCATCTAAAAAATCAGAAGCATATGTTACCTTTTTGATTGGGGGCGGGGAAAGTAAAGTGATTTCCATTTTGAGGAACAGAACCCAAAGAATTACCCGTTCTGCTTGGTGTCCGAATGGCTGCACTGCTTCCCTCCAGGGGCCCATCAGCAGGATTCCCTTGAGGATATGGTCTGCCACAGCTGAGAAATATTGGAAGAGCTGTAAGTATATTCTCTCTTTTCAAAAAATCATAGGCACACACCATCTATGTACACATGAAGATAGATAATAATCAAACGTTTCCACCTTCCACTTATTTGATAAGAAAAAAATTCATTTTGCTTTATACATAGATGCTGATAGACTGTTTTCTTTTTGGTGAGAGTGTAATCAATATAAAGGATCAGAAGCTTCACTCAACGCTCATCCTCCTCCACAGTCTAGGCCACATATGAAACCACAGGCCAAATTTTGTTACATTATTTAGAGAATCCCGGGATAACCTGCTACCTGCTCATAGTGGCGATTTTGGAGATGCCGAGGCATATTTAGTCAAAAATATCTTCCCCAATGCACTCCCTGTCAACCTGCCTAAAAGCCTCATTATTAGATTTATTTCCATGGGTTAAGACATTTTATGCGCAAAGAGCCCTTTAAGATCGCATATGTGGAAATAGAATGACAGCATATTAATTTTCTTTTTTGCCACAAAATAAAAATTAATTCCTTTTTCAAGACTGATCAGTCACCTGCTAAGGCCCAAAGGAAATGAACAAAGTAGAGGTACACTGTGACAGAGAGTGAACGTAAAATTGACTGCACAGAATGTTAGTTGAGAAAAACAGGCCAAGGGGGTATACTGTGAGTAATCTAGAAAAATGAACATACTGGAGGGTCCTAGCTCTTTAACAGAGGACATCAGAGGAGGTAGGGTACTTCTGTTCTCTCAACAGCTTTGACTGCTTTATAAATTAAAAAGCAACCCCACAAATGGCCTGGCAAGTTTCTTCTCTCACTTATCTTGTTCAGAACTCCATGGTTAGATTTTAATTCTGGCTCTTGCTTCTGGGTTCTTTTCTTCTGCCTAATATTACAAAGGGTCTCAGAGGGTTTTTGTTTGTTATTTAGCCACAGAGTACTCACTCTAAAAGGAAAAGAAATGAAATCGTTTATAATTTATTAAACGTCTCATCACTTTTATTTTCCCTCACTTGTGCTTATATATGTGTTGTAGAGATAAGCATCTGCCAGTTAGAGAATATTTTCATCCTGAGTAAATTTATTTTCAAGCCTTAAACATAAGTGGAGAAGGATCCCATGCAAAATATTTCTAATTATGAAATCCCATCACTTTGATTTAGGGAATCGAAAGAAAATGACAGGACCAAAGGAAAAAGCAAGCAGATACAAATGATGGGCTTACATTCTTGGGTGACACTTGGTAGATGGAGGGTTTATTAGTTTTAAGAATTTTCATTGCAAGATAATACTTAAAAGGAACACTTAAATTAGTAGTTCAATTATACTACCTCTTATGCCAAAAAAACAGCTTGTTGCATAGACATTACAGAAGCCAGAAGACTGGGACTCAAAGCCAAACCCTTCGAGTTCAGCAGGGGAAACCACAATAATTAGTCGTGTGTTTCTGGAGCTCTCTGTGCCTACATGGGTGGCTGCCTTGAAGGCAATAATAGAACGTGGTTTGAATTACAGATTTATAAAGCCCAAACAAATAAAAGACACACTACTGGATTTATAAACATTACTGAACAAGTAGGCAGTGAAATTCTCTTATTTTTCTCCAAAATCTCTTTTATAAAAATCCCATTACATTCTTCCTTCTAAGAGTACAAAAAATAGACTGTGTGGAGGAAAGCTGTGGGAGTGGTAGAGCTTTTCGGAACATCTCTGCTTTCTTTAGGCGACTTATTTCCCACAAGTTTGGAACCCACGGTGGGAGAGTCTCCCTAGAAATGCTGGAAGCCGATGTGCTTGATGTCGATTACTCCACTGAGCTTCATCTTGGCTTGGGATGCATACCACAAAAACATGTTTCCTAAGGATGTTCCACCACACACTTGCTCCATGGGCAATTACTGTGTGTTAACCTAAAAAAATTGGTTTTGTGGTCAGATAAATTCAGAAAATGCTACCTGAGACAAAAATCTAGAGGTTTTCTTTTGCAGGACTTCTCAGAGCTTTTAATAAAGCGATGTGTGTTATGAATCACTGATCTCAGGGCCCCTGGGTGGCTCAGTTGGTTAAGCGACTGCCTTTGGCTCAGGTCATGATCCTGGAGTCCCAGGATCGAGTCCCGCATCGGGCTCCCTGCTCGGCGGGGAGTCTGCTTCTCCCTCTGACCCTCCTCCCTCTCATATGCTCTCTCTCTCATTCTCATTCTCTCAAATAAAGAAAATCTTTAAAAAAAAAAACAAAAACAAAAAAACCCCCAAAAAACAGAAATGAATCACTGATCTCAGATCATGCTTGTGTGGGGGGGAGGGGAAAGATGGGATTAATATTCCACAGAAATTATTTTATTAAAACAGCCCTCATAGAGAGGGTAACAGGATAACTTTGGGATGGTAAAATAACTTTTTAGTCTGGCCCTGGACAAATAAACTAACAAAAATGATTTTCCCTTTTAAAGTATTTGTAAAGAGAAAACAAGTAAAAATAAAGATTAGAAAAAGAAAGAGTGTTCATTTAGAGTTTATGACTAAGTGATTTGAAGATGGTATCTGTGAAGCTTAAAACGGAATATAATAATCAAATCTAGCTCTGTGAACTGGTGCTGCATGTAACTCATTTACTCAAATGGTTATCCTCATTAACCTTAGCCAAGAGACAGAATTTTGTTCAAGGCACTCTCATGACTACACTTAGGGTAAAAACACTTAACTCTTCTAGTTAAAAGAATACTGTAATGCTTTAAAATCAACTCTTCAAGATGAAGCTATTACTAGAGAACAACAATATGGTAATCAGTTAAGAGGAGGGATTTCCTTCTTTGTGACAATGTTGGCAAAATAACTACTCCTGCGATGCGACGCCTTTTTTTCTTATCCTCTGTGAAAAGAAATCACTTCCTATTTCTAATTCTATTTAGAAGTGATAGACCAGTACAAGCTAATTGTTTAATTGCCTTCAGAGACCCATTTCAGTCTAACCATAGTGTGCCATGTATTATCTGAACATTTTTGTTTTATTTATGTATTTACTTATTTAAGATTTTTATTTTTTTTAAAGATTTTTTATTTATTTATTTGACAGAGAGAGACACAGCGAGAGAGGGAACACAAGCAGGGGGAGTGGGAGAGGGAGAAGCAGGCTTCCCGCTGAGCAGGGAGCCCGATGTGGGGCTCGATTCCAGGACCCCGGGATCATGATCTGAGCCGAAGGCAGATGCTTAACCATCTGAGCCACCCAGGCACCCCTAAGATTTTTATTTTTAAGTAATCTCTACACCCAACGTGGGGCTCGAACTCACAACCCCGAGATCAAGAGTTGCATGCTCTTCTGACTGAGCCAGCCAGGTGCCCCTATTTGCACATTTTTAAAGTGGGGATTGCAAACTTAAAATATCCTTAAAATGGATATAAAATCCTCCCTGAAGAGCAAGTAAAATATATTCCAACAGAATATGTTAAATTACTTGATATGATTTTTAATTATATGCTTTATGCATTCTCCATTAGTAAGCAGAGGAAATATACAACTACGTGTTTTTCTATCATCTCCAAAGGTTAGCTTTATGGGCTCCATGGACTCTAAGCTTTTTATTAACAGGAAACCATGGAAAAAGCAAGTTTCTACTCAAGACAAATCATATTATCCTATACTTACTTTCCTGTCAACTTCTTTGGCAAACCTACCTGTACAGAACTGTGCGGACTGGTGGTGAGTGTTCCTAAGAGGAACACTAATCATAGTTTTCGGACGGGTTAAATACCAGTTAACAATGTAAAATCCTTACCTGCTACATATAACAGATGGAGGGAGGAGCTGAGGAGACAGGTCAGGGGCACTCTGAGTATAAGTTAATGCCCTGTGAGAACCTAGGCCTTGTCTGGCAGTCGTGTTGGCAGATTCTGGAAACCGCACTGCAGAAATTTTGCTGACTGGGCTGTTGGCAGGAGTCCCTTGGGGGGGTGAGGAACAGGGCGATGCAAGAGGTGAAATTTTAGCTAGGGCACCTAGAAAGAAAAAGAGTTTTTAAATCACTAAGTCAAATTTTTTTTTCAAAATCAAGATTGCAACTCTTAAACTTCACCTTGGACCCCCATTTACTCCATCAGGACCACATGAGTACTCAGGCTGGGTGGGGAGCTGACCCTTTCTGCCCCCATCTGGAGACAAGGTGTACAGTGGGGGGTGTCTCCACGGCATGAAAGGCGAAGGATGAATCATCATAAAAAAATCAGTGGCAACGTTGGCAAATCCAGTTGAAGCCTTGGTGTCCTGGAGTAACTTCAGGACAGAAGGATATTATTTTCTCCTCCCATTTTTGTTTCTTCTGGTCATTCTGACATAATGATAATAATTAAAATTTCCTCGTGTGCTTGCCTTCTCCTAGGTTGTGAAATTTTTGGCAGTCACAGGATCTGCTATTGTTTTAAACATTAACTTATCTTAGCTGAGTTTGGCAGGTATCCAATAATTAAAATATATAAAGAAGATAGATTTGTGAGAGGCAATTACCTTGAGTAACCATCAACATTTTCGGTGAAACTACCTTATTTGTGTGAAACAGGGCTCTGATCAGAGTCATTTCTGAAGAAAACATTTAAAAATGGAAGACAATCCGCTTCAGATTAAACAATAGGCCTCAAGCCTAAATTTTAAGTGTTGGTATCTGTGCTAAACCGTGTTTACTCTTGATTGTGAAAATTTTACAGAAAACTGGCTTAGATTTCAAAGTGCTGATACTCGAGTACAAGGAAGAGATCTTTTGAAGTTCCGCTCTCCCAAACACAGAGAAGGCAGCCCGCACTTAAAACTGAAGAGAGCTCTATCTTCTGAACAGCCATCTGCTTACTGGTTTTCAGCATTGTAGGGCCCAACAAACTACTGTAAGGCAAATGAAATGAAATCATTCATTGTTTTCTATTTCTCACCACGTGGGGGGAAAATGCATAGCCGGCAGCTCTCCCATCATCAGATAATATGTGTGGGGAACTGGCAGCTGGCTGAGTTTGCTTCCAACCTCCAGTTCTCTCAGAAGTTTTATTTGTTACACCCAAAGATTTTCTGGTCCACTGAAAGGAATATTAAGCTTGCTGAAGGGCTTTTGTAATTTTTACGTTTCTTGCTGGCACCGTTCTTTCTTTTGTTTTGTTGTACCAGATGAGAAATCCTGCTCTTCCTTTGATAAGTCTGGAGGTTGGCAGCCCTCCTGTTCCTTTGCTCAATATTTGTATTGTTGATTCCCGATGGAAAGATCAATCCCTTGCCTTCATCCGTAAATGAAACTACTCAGACGCAGAGAGGTAAAGAACCTTCCCAGGGTCACAGTGCTAATAAGTAGGAGAATATGGAGTGAGCCCCGCTGTTCTTAATGAAAGTGGTTTTAGCCCATACTGCTCTCAGAGACTGTCCAAGGAGGAAGAAAAATCTATCATCTGCTAGGCGGCATTCGCATTGCACTTTATAATGGCACTACTAATGGTTTTCATTTTGATTTCTATTTCTATTGAAAAGATTTAGCTGTTTTACCAAAGATACTGACAAACCTGCACTTGTACATAATGTCCTAAACCAAAAAAAAAACCCCAAAAAACAAAAAACAACTCAAAAAACAAAACAAAAACAACCCCCACTAAATTCTTAACTCAGCGTTTCCCAAAGAACCTATCACTGTGCGCAACAAAGTGGGTTACAGGAGCCCTGCGAAGTGCTAATGGTTATAATTTTTTTTGAATATTTTATTTGGAAGCTTCAGAATGCATTCAATTTTTAATATGATCTCTAATATTTTATAATTAGATTTCATTGTAATTTTACAAAAGGAAGGAAATAAAATTTTCATCAAGCTCTAAATCCCTTCCCATTTCTCCACTGCCCAGTAACATTATTGTATTCACACATATTATTTTACAAATAACACATCAGGCTCTGATGGAAAAAGGTAGGAAAGGGCTAGTCTAATTCAGACTATTTGTTAGATTATGGCCAATTGAGTCTTCAGATAATCTTAGGAAAGCAGTGTCAACATTAAGGAATGGGCTGAGGGTGCAACGTTGTATAAAGAAAGTATCTGCACAGAGTAATGATCTATTTGTTCAACAAATATTGATTGTGTGCCCCCTTCCAGAGACTAAGGATACTATGGTGACAATAACACATTCCCTGCTGTCATGGAGCTTCCATTCTCTTGGAGGAGTTAGAAACTTAAAAAAGAGGTGGAAGAGGAGGAAAAGGAAGGAAAAAGAGAAAGAAGGAGGAGAAGGAAGGATAAAAGGAAAAGATATACAATGGACTATTACTCAGGCATCAGAAAGGATTAATACCTACCATTTGCATCCACATGGATGGAACTGGAAGGTATTATGCTAAGTGAAATAAGTCAGTCAGAGAAAGACAATCATCATATGGTTTCACTCATATGAGGAATATAAGAAACAGCACAGAGGATCATAGGGGAAGGGAGGGAAAACTGAATGGGAAGAAATCAGAGAGGGAGCCGAACCATGAGAGACTCTGGACTCCAGGAAACAAACTGAGGGTTGTGGAAGGGGAGGTGGGTGGGGGGATGGGGTAGCTGGGTGATGGGCATTAAAGAGGGCACGTGATGTGATGAGCACTGGGTGTTATACACAACTGATGAATTACTGAACTCTACATCTGAAACTAATGATGTACTACTACGATATGTTGGCTAATTGAATTTAAATAAAAAAAAGAAAAGAAACCCAGGTATTTATAAGTTTCTAAAGAAAAATACTGTAGAGAATATAGAACAGAGAACAGAAATGCTCTAGGGGTAAAATTTGAACAGAGGCTTGGTGAAATAAGACATTTAGACAAGTATTGGGGGAAGCATGTTCCAGAAAGAAGGACCCACCTGGAGGGTGTCAGAGGGTTAATCGGGAGGTCAGTGTGGGTGCAGTTTAGCGAAGGGGAAAGAGGGGCAGGGAACGTGGCCAGAGAAGCTGCTGGACAAGGCTGTAGAGGGCTGAGAGGCCAAGGCAAGACTTTAATTGTTGTTTATTTTGAAAAAGAGACTTCTGATAGGCATTGCTTCAGGCAATTCTTTAATTATTTTGATAGTTAATTGTGAATTTTTGAAAGTCTTCTACCACTTTTTTTTTAATAGATCAAAGCCTATGGGAACAGTCTCTATATCTGTCTTAACACAACATATTTTCTAAAGGCAATTTATGAGAGAAGTGATTTTTTTCGTTGCTAATTCTTCGTAGCTGCCAGCTGATAGTCTCAGAGAAATGCAATTCACTCTTAAATATGAATTTAAAAATCCCCTCAATGATTAGAGTTCTTGGAACTCATGGATTAACTAAATTTAAACAAATAGCAGGCCTTAAGACTCCAAACTTACTGCCTGGGATGAAATTTAAAATAAACCTTGTAACAGAGGAAAAGCACTTTGCTTCTGTAGTACTGTTAGTCTACATACTTTGAACACTTTTAACAAGCATGAGTCTTGGCAACAACTATGAAAAGAGGAATATTTGCTCTCAGTCACCAAGATGGCAACATAGGATGTGCCCGACTTAGCTTTCCCTCATAAGAGCAACGAACAACTACTCAAGAACAAGACACCACTGAGAGAGTCCTGGAACATGGGGGTGAGGCTGAAGCATGCCCCTGCACCACAGAGACCAAGACAGGGTAAAGAGAAGAGACCACAAGTTGACCACACTGCCGCACCCCCAGCCAGCACAACACTGCGTGGAGAAGTCTCCCCTGAGCCTCTGAGGATACCCAAGAGGATAACAAGCACCCCCCCCAAAAAATTGTGGGTTGCTTTGTAGGAGTCCCTATTCTGATCTACACCATGGGGATTACAGGGGCATCTGTGAGGTTCCACCACTGGGAATCTGACAGTGATGGATAAAGGGGTAGGGGTTTGCAACAACCAGGACATAGATCTTGGCAGACCAAGTTCATACCTGCAGTGCCCAAATAGTAATCTCAACCAGCAGCGCTGCTCATCTGCAGAACCAAGTTGGAGGCACACACTGATCAGTGAACTTGGTGGGTACAGATATGTCTGATTCAGATTCTTAAGCAAGGAGTTTTGTCAGCCCTATAGCCCAGTATGCTCATACCCAGGCAAGGAGGTAAATCATAGCCTCACCCACTGTGGAGAGTGTCTCCCAGGTCCATCTGACCAAAAGGATTGGTGACAATTCCCAGAAGCTGTGAGGTCCAGCGGTCCTTGAGCCAAGAAGGGGGAGGGCAGCGTGGAACAGCCAGAACAAAGCCAGTATAGGGTGTGGAGTGTCCCCATCCTATGTACCGGCAGGGGGATTAATTCAGAGTTAAGGCTGAGGGTAGCTCCTAGCCCCTGTCTACCTGAGAACCTGCTTGGGAAACAGAAAGTAGCTGGAGTGACCCCTCCCCCTCCTGCCCAGCAGGGAGCTGAGACATAGCCCCACCCACAGCAGAGTGTCTTTTAGCCCCAGCTGACCAACTCCTGGAAGCTGTGTGGTCTGCACTAGAACTGAAAGATGGGCCGGTGATGGCTTTCAGAACAAAGGCCTGTTTGGTAAAGGAGCTTGGGGTGTGGGGCAGCTTAAGTTAAGACAACAAACAACCAGCTTTGTTGGCTTTAGAGCTGCTTCTCCTGCTGTGCCCAGGCAGGGAATCTAACTTGTAGCCCCACTCATTACCGATACAACCTATAGCCTGTCTGACCAGGGAACCTAACCAGAGCACCTGGGAAGCTGCATAACCCATCGATGGCCTTATGTACAATGGCACTTGAACAGAGAGCACAGCCTGTGGGTTCTCCCATCTTCAGAGCAAAGCTGATGGCCTCATGGAACTAGAGAATTCAATGCACAATCCAGCCTGATTCAGGTCCCCACACAACAAGCTGCACAGCTCTTGGGTCCCTGCCAGGGCAGGGAAACTGATTCATAACCCTGCTATTACTGAATACAGTACCAGTCCTGACCATCTGGTAAGCCTGACCAGAGAATCAAGGCACTGCAGAGCCCAACCTACAGTTTCA